ATTTTTGAGTGAAAACATAAAAGTCCATTTTCTGGCTGAACTAGAGGCCCCAGGACAAAAAGCTTTAAAATCTGTGATCACTTTTATTTCCAATCAAAAATCGATTTTTGAGTGAAAACATAAAAGTCCATTTTCTGGCTAAACTAGAGGTCCCAGGGCAAAAAACATTGAAATCTGTGATCACTTACATTTCCTTCCAAAAATCGAGTTTTTAGTAAAAACATAAAAGTCCTTTTTCTGGCTAAACTAGAGGCCCCAGGGCAAAAAGCTTTAAAATCTGTGATCACTTTTATTTCTTACCAAAAATTGATTTTTGAGTGAAAACATAAAAGTCCATTTTCTGGCTAAACTAGAGGCCCCAGGACAAAAAGCTTTAAAATCTGTGATCACTTTTATTTCCTTCCAAAAATTGAGTTTTTAGTAAAAACATAAAAGTCCATTTTCTGGCTAAACTAGAGGCCCCAGGGCAAAAAGCTTTAAAATCTGTGATCACTTTTATTTCTTACCAAAAATTGATTTTTGAGTGAAAACATAAAAGTCCATTTTCTGGCTAAACTAGAGGCCCCAGGACAAAAAGCTTTAAAATCTGTGATCACTTTTATTTCCTTCCAAAAATTGAGTTTTTAGTAAAAACATAAAAGTCCATTTTCTGGCTAAACTAGAGGCCCCAGGGCAAAAAGCTTTAAAATCTGTGATCACTTTTATTTCCTACCAAAAATCGATTTTTGAGTGAAAACATAAAAGTCCATTTTCTGGCTAAACTAGAGGCCCCAGGGCAAAAAGCTTTAAAACCTGTGATCACTTTTATTTCCTACCAAAAATCGATTTTTGAGTGAAAACATAAAAGTCCATTTTCTGGCTAAACTAGAGGCCCCAGGACAAAAACCTTTAAAATCTGTGATCACTTTTATTTCCTACCAAAAATCGATTTTTGAGTGAAAACATAAAAGTCCATTTTCTGGCTAAACTAGAGGGCCCACGGCAAAAAGCATTGAAATATGTGATCACTTTTATTTCCTTCCAAAAATCGAGTTTTTAGTAAAAACATAAAAGTCCATTTTCTGGCTGAACTAGAGGCCCCAGGACAAAAAGCTTTAAAATCTGTGATCACTTTTATTTCCTACCAAAAATCGATTTTTGAGTGAAAATATAAAAGTCCATTTTCTGGCTAAACTAGAGGCCCCAGGACAAAAAGCTTTAAAATCTGTGATCACTTTTATTTCCTTCCAAAAATCGATTTTTTAGTGAAAATATAAAAGTCCATTTTCTGGCTAAACTAGAGGTCCCAGGGCAAAAAACATTGAAATCTGTGATCACTTTCATTTCCTTCCAAAAATCGAGTTTTTAGTAAAAATATAAAAGTCCATTTTCTGGCTAAACTAGAGGCCCCAGGGCAAAAAGCTTTAAAATCTGCGATCACTTTTATTCCTACCAAAAATCGATTTTTGAGTGAAAACATAAAAGTCCATTTTCTGGCTAAACTAGAGGCCCCAGGGCAAAAAGCTTTAAAATCTGTGATCACTTTTATTTCCTTCCAAAAATCGATTTTTTAGTGAAAACATAAAAGTCCATTTTCTGGCTAAACTAGTGATCCCAGGGCGAAAAACTTTAAAATCTGTGATCACTTTTATTTCCTATCAAAAATCGATTTTTGAGTGAAAACATAAAAGTCCATTTTCTGGCTAAACTAGAGGCCCCAGGACAAAAAGCTTTTAAATCTGTGATCTCTTTTATTTGCTACCAAAAATCGAGTTTTTAGTAAAAACATAAAAGTCCTTTTTCTGGCTAAACTAGAGGCCCCAGGGCAAAAAGCCTTAAAATCTGTGATCACTTTTATTTCTTACCAAAAATTGATTTTTGAGTGAAAACATAAAAGTCCATTTTCTGGCTAAACTAGAGGCCCCAGGACAAAAAGCTTTAAAATCTGTGATCACTTTTATTTCCTTCCAAAAATTGAGTTTTTAGTAAAAACATAAAAGTCCATTTTCTGGCTAAACTAGAGGCCCCAGGGCAAAAAGCTTTAAAATCTGTGATCACTTTTATTTCCTAACAAAAATCAATTTTTGAGTGAAAACATAAAAGTCCATTTTCTGGCTAAACTAGAGGCCCCAGGACAAAAAGCTTTAAAACCTGTGATCACTTTTATTTCCTACCAAAAATCGATATTTGAGTGAAAACATAAAAGTCCATTTTCTGGCTAAACTAGAGGCCCCAGGGCAAAAAGCTTTAAAATATGTGATCACTTTTATTTCCTACCAAAAATCAATTTTTGAGTGAAAACATAAAAGTCCATTTTCTGGCTGAACTAGAGGCCCCAGGACAAAAAGCTTTAAAATCTGTGATCACTTCTATTTCCTACCAAAAATCGATTTTTGAGTGAAAACATAAACGTCCATTTTCTGGCTAAACTAGAGGTCCCAGGGCAAAAAGCTTTAAAATCTGTGATCACTTTTATTTCCTACCAAAAATCAATTTTTGAGTGAAAACATAAAAGTCCATTTTCTGGCTGAACTAGAGGCCCCAGGACAAAAAGCTTTAAAATCTGTGATCACTTTTATTTCCTACCAAAAATCGATTTTTGAGTGAAAACATAAAAGTCCATTTTCTGGCTAAACTAGAGGCCCCAGGACAAAAAGCTTTAAAATCTGTGATCACTTTTATTTCCTACCAAAAATCAAGTTTTTAGTAAAAACATAAAAGTCCATTTTCTGGCTAAACTAGTGATCCCAGGGCGAAAAGCTTTAAAATCTGTGATCACTTTTATTTCCTAACAAAAATCAATTTTTGAGTGAAAACATAAAAGTCCATTTTCTGGCTAAACTAGAGGCCCCAGGGCAAAAAGCTTTAAAATCTGTGATCACTTTTATTTCCTTCCAAAAATCGAGTTTTTAGTAAAAACATAAAAGTCCATTTTCTGGCTAAACTAGAGGCCCCAGGGCAAAAAGCCTTAAAATCTGTGATCACTTTTACTTCTCATCAAAAATCGATTTTTGAGTGAAAACATAAAAGTCCATTTTCTGGCTAAACTAGAGGCCCCAGAACAAAAAGATTTAAAATCTGTGATCACTTTTATTTCCTTCCAAAAATCGATTTTTTAGTGAAAACATAAAAGTCCATTTTCTGGCTAAACTAGAGGCCCCAGAGCAAAAAGCTTTAAAATCTGTGATCACTTTTATTTCCTACAAAAAATCGATTTTTAATTGAAAACATAAAAGTCCATTTTCTAGCTAAACTAGAGGCCCCAGGGCAAAAAGCCTTAAAATCTGTGATCACTTTTATTTCCTACCAAAAATCGATTTTTGAGTGAAAACATAAAAGTCCATTTTCTGGCTAAACTAGATGCCCCAGGGCAAAAAGCTTTAAAATCTGTGATCACTTTTATTTCCTTCCAAAAATCGAGTTTTTAGTAAAAACATAAAGGTCCATTTTCTGGCTATACTAGAGGCCCCAGGACAAAAAGCTTTTAAATCTGTGATCACTTTTATTCGATTTTTGAGTGAAAACATAAAAGTCCATTTTCTGGCTAAACTAGAGGTCCCAGGGCGAAAAGCTTTAAAATCTGTGATCACTTTTATTTCCTACCAAAAATCAAATTTTTAGTAAAAACATAAAAGTCCATTTTCTGGCTAAACTAGAGACCCCAGGCCAAAAAGCCTTAAAATCTGTGATCACTTTTACTTCTCATCAAAAATAGATTTTTGAGTGAAAACATAAAAGTCCATTTTCTGGCTAAACTAGAGGCCCCAGGACAAAAAGCTTTTAAATCTGTGATCTCTTTTATTTGCTACCAAAAATCGAGTTTTTAGTAAAAACATAAAAGTCCTTTTTCTGGCTAAACTAGAGGCCCCAGGGCAAAAAGCCTTAAAATCTGTGATCACTTTTATTTCTTACCAAAAATTGATTTTTGAGTGAAAACATAAAAGTCCATTTTCTGGCTAAACTAGAGGCCCCAGGACAAAAAGCTTTAAAATCTGTGATCACTTTTATTTCCTTCCAAAAATTGAGTTTTTAGTAAAAACATAAAAGTCCATTTTCTGGCTAAACTAGAGGCCCCAGGGCAAAAAGCTTTAAAATCTGTGATCACTTTTATTTCCTAACAAAAATCAATTTTTGAGTGAAAACATAAAAGTTCATTTTCTGGCTAAACTAGAGGCCCCAGGACAAAAAGCTTTAAAATCTGTGATCACTTTTATTTCCTACCAAAAATCCATTTTTGAGTGAAAACATAAAAGTCCATTTTCTGCCTAAACTAGAGGCCCCAGGACAAAAAGCTCTAAAATCTGTGATCACTTTTATTTCCTACCAAAAATCGATTTTTGAGTGAAAACATAAAAGTCCATTTTCTGGCTAAACTAGAGGCCCCAGGGCAAAACGCTTTAAAATCTGTGATCACTTTTATTTCCTATCAAAAATCGATTTTTGAGTGAAAACATAAAAGTCCATTTTCTGGCTAAACTAGAGGTCCCAGGGCAAAAAGCATTGAAATCTGTGATCACTTTTATTTCCTTCCAAAAATCGAGTTTTTAGTAAAAACATAAAGGTCCATTTTCTGGCTAAACTAGAGGCACCAGGGCAAAAAGTTTTAAAATCTGTGATCACTTTTATTTCCTTTCAAAAATCGATTTTTAGTGAAAACATAAAAGTCCATTTTCTGGCTAAACTAGAGGCTCCAGGGCAAAAAGCTTTAAAATCTGTGATCGATTTTTAATTGAAAAAATAAAAGTCCATTTTCTGGCTAAACTAGAGGCCCCAGGGCAAAAAGCTTTAAAATCTGTGATCACTTTTATTTCCTAGTGAAAACAGGACAAAAAGCTTTAAAATCGGTGAGGTCCCAGGGCAAAAAGGACAGGACTAGGCTTAAACTAGTCTATAGTCTAGTTTATAGTCCAGTTTATAGTCTAGTCTATGGTCTATAGTCTAATTCATAATCTAGTCTGTAGTGTAATATACAGTTTTACAGTTATTTAACTTGAATTTTGTAAAATTATTTTATTACTTACAACACATTCCAACAATTTCCAAAACATTGCCCTCATCATGAACATTAATGGAGACGGATAAATAGTCATCAACATTTTTGATTTCATATGTTTTGCTGTATTCACCGATATGTAAGGCATTCTCTAAATCACCCTAAACATAGAAAAGTTTCAAACAAAATTAATTATAATTTATAATAAAAATCACACTATTAATACAATTTTTTACCTTCTCTGTAATATCAATTACAGCTTGCCAACTATTATCCGTAGGATAAAGTATACAATCGTAAGCAGTCTTTATATCTGGATAATACTTTTCATAAGTATTGAGCAATTCTAAAGTGTTGTCCAAGTCTTCCTTAATTAGTTTCTTGTCCCAGCTCAATTTGGAATTATCTGAAATTTTAAAAATGAAAAAATCCCATTTATACTGATTGGGAATCAATGAAGCATATTTTTCTTTACCTGGATTTTGTGCTTCAAATTCATTAATTTTTCTTGAGACTTCAGCAATAGCTGTTTTATGAGGACCATCCCATTCTTTAAGCTTACGAGCATTAGTAAGATTTTCACGTACTTTAGAGGGACATAAATCATAAAATCGCTTGAGGCCTAAACGGAACTCCTTATTAGGGGCAGTGTTGTTATCAAGCATTTGTTGCGTTACCTATAATTTGAAAAATGTCATAAAATGATCGCATATAAACAAAAAGGATTTAAAATCCTAAATAATACTTTATTTTTCGTATTTTTAAACATGTTTACGTTCTTTTGAAAGTATTTAGTTTTACCTCAAAAATTACTGACCTACAACAAACATAACTTGAAATCTTATAAGAACATAAAAGAATCACAAAATTTGTCGAATTGGATGAAGATTTCCCTAATTGGCATGAAGTTATTACTACGGACAACTTCCAGTTCAGATCTGGTTCAGTTCTAGTTCAGTTCTAGTTCAGTTCTAGTTCAGTTCTAGTTCAGTTCTAGTTCAGTTCTAGTTCAGTTCTAGTTGAGTTCTAGTTCAGTTCTAGTTCAGTTCTAGTTCTAGTTCAGTTCTAGTTCAGTTCTAGTTCAGTTCTAGTTCAGTTCTAGTTCAGTTCTAGTTCAGTTCTAGTTCAGTTCTAGTTCAGTTCTAGTTCAGTTCTAGTTCAGTTCTAGTTCAGTTCTAGTTCAGTTCTAGTTCAGTTCTAGTTCAGTTCTAGTTCAGTTCTAGTTCAGTTCTAGTTCAGTTCTAGTTCAGTTCTAGTTCAGTTCTAGTTCAGTTCTAGTTCAGTTCTAGTTCAGTTCTAGTTTATTTTCAATTCTAGTTCCTAACCTCTGGTCACCCTAAAATATAAACAATAAAGTACTTGACATTGTAAAGCATTAATTTGCATACAATTTGCAAAATGATTTAACAAAACAAACATTATAAAGATAAAATTAAGTATGATCTAAACTAAATCCACATACCTTCAATTGCCTGCCAGAGAGTCCGGTTATAAAACCCTTATCATCGGCTACAACCTTTTTGGTAACACTCACATCGCCACAGCCGGTGCAGTCGAAACGTTCAACAACCTTTACGGTTTTGCCATCACACAGAGTCTAAATTTAGAGAAACCGCAAAAAAGGCGCATTTTTTAGTAAAAACACTTGAAAACATAAACAAAATGGAGCTAAAAAGCAAAAACTAACCTCTAGACCGGTGGCACGGGGATCGACACCAGAATCAAAAATTGCTATAGTAACATCACGTCCATCAAATTCGGGATACTTTTGCAAGAAATTCAAAACATTAGTTTCGGCTTTAGGTACTAGAGCGCCAGCAGGGAAGGAATTCTCCACAATACCGCCATCGTTCAATTGATGAATAGTCATTGTTGTTTGGTTAGCTTTTTCACAATTAGAGGAAAATTCTTGTAAACGCTAAGTCAATAATGGCTTTTGTGCACTTAAAGTTGTGTTCAAACGTTTGGGCGAAGCTAAAATATTAAAATTTAACTATAGAAGTTTTCTGGAGAGAAAATACGTAGATATTAATTTAAAATAAATTCCACTAGCAAAATTTCGCACAAAATAATAAATTGTCCAACTGTCATGACAAGCGGAATTAATGCACTTGTCAATGGGAACTGTTTTTGTCAAGGCGAATTCAGATAAGGTGGTGTTATTCAAACAGCTGACTATTTTTTTCTTCACTTGACTGGTACGCACTGATGTCAGAGTTTGTTATTGTTTACATTTTTATATTTAAAAATATTTATTATAATATTTTCCTTAAAAATATTTAAGATATCTTCCAAAAATACATACAAAACAAATAGCTTGAACCAATGAAACATGGTTTTCGTATCATCGAATTTGCATTGGTTCGATTATTCGAAATTCTCGCATAAACACATGATCTCCAATGTATGTATTTATCCGCCCGGCGGCAGGTGACTACAATGTGTAAATCTTAAAAATTACTCCGCCGGAATAGAATTTTCCATTCACAACAAAGATTCTTTCATTCGGTATATACTTTTTCCATAAGGTTTTACATTTTTATGTTTATTTTTCACAAAAATATTAATTTTACATAATTTTGGGCAAAAACTTAAGTTTTGTAAAATTAATCTGCCGGAGTAGAATTTTTCATTTGGAACAAACATTATTCCACTCACAAATTTAAGTATTTTTATGTGTATTTTTTATAAAATGTAAAAATTTCACAAAATATTTTCATTAAATGAATTCGCCGCAATTATTGTTTTTGACATCAGTTCGTACCAAGGCGAATTCAGATAAGGTGGTGGCCAAGGCGAATAGACTATAATGTGAAGTCATTTCATTTTGCGGCGAATTCATGAAATTTTTTATATATGTAGTTTGGCAGCATCGGGTTTGAGAGAGAATTTTTTTTATATTGAGTTTGACAACTTCGGGCTAAATTTCCATGGACAAAAAAACAATCAGCTGTTGAAATAACTTCACCTTATTAGTTTCGCCATGGTGGTGGCAGTTCTGCAACAACAACATTTTACATGTATTTTGTTTTTGCATTTGGTTTACGTAGATGTCAAAAACCATAAGTACGGCGAATTCATTTCATGAAAAATTGTTGTAAAATTTTGATATTTTATTAAAGATAAAGATATTAAAATTTGTGAAGAAAATATATTCTGAATTGAATAATGTTTGTTTCAAACGAAAAATTCTATTCCGGCAGATTAATTTGCAAAATGTAAGTGAGTGCCTGAAGTTAAGTAAAACTTATTTTTTTGTGAAAAATTAACATAAAAAAGTACATATTCATGAAAATATTATATTACGAATGAATGAATATTTGTTGCGAATGGATAATTCTACTCCGGCGCAGTAATTTTCAATATTTGGCCATAATGTAGCAGCCGCCGGACGGGTAAATACTTCATATGGGTTTTGTTATATAAAGCGTTCCGGAACAGATTTTTTTAGTTAATCTCTTTATCTACATAGTGTATATATAAAACAATATTGTTTAATTTATTAACATATAATAGATTTCAAAATTAAGCCATAACGTAGAAGTCAGCTGCCGCCAGCCGGGTAAATACTTCTATGCCTTTCTTTATATAAAGTGTTCCGGAAGAGATTTTTTTAGTTAATCACGTTATCTTCACAATGTTAATAAAAAATATAAAACAATATTGTTTAATATGTTAACATAATAGAAAAAAATATATTTCCTAAATAACATATTTGTATACATACCAATTATGCCACTATTTCAATAAAATGGTATTTTTTTACGAGATGCTTGGTATTTTTAGATTTTTTACATAAATAATTCAAAATATTAACGAAGTTTTTCTCCGTTTAACGGAAATTTTTAAATATAAAAATGTAAACAATAACAAACTTTGACAGCCAAGTAAACCAGGCGAATTAAGAAAAAAAATTATCAGCTGATTGAATAACACCACCTTATCTGAATTCGCCTTGGTTCGTAACAAATTAAAAAATTTGTTGTTGCCGAACTGCCACCACCTTATCTGAATTCGCCTTGTTCTAGCCTTTTACGGTATGACATACCAGCAATGTAAAAAGGTGCAGCTTGGTTGACGTCAACGAAGCTGGTTGGAAGTAATAGCAGCGACTCGAATTAGGCGCGTAAACACGAAAATATGAAAGGCGAATCATATACATCGAACGTTGAGAAAAGAAAACATGCTTAAATGAAAACAAATTAATTTTATATTGTAAAATTCCATAAATTTTTCGAAAGTGTTCTGTAAATTTTACAAAATGCGAAATTTTTAAGCAGTAGTATTAAGATGAAAAAGTTCGGTGGCGGTGGTTTTGACATTTTGTTCGGAGGCTAGGCTTAGTCGTCCTAAAGCCGAATCGGCGTTTGTCTCCGTATACAAAAGCTATTTAATTTCTAATAGGAAATATTTTTAATATCATTTAAACATAAGCTGTTTTTTATGAAAACCTTATAAAAGTATACATTGGCAACTCTATTATTTGTTATTGTATGAAACAGCTGTACAATTCTGACATTTTGATTGTCAAATAGTTTTTTTCAGCCAAACCACTCTTGTTTTTGGCCATACGAATAAATTTTTGTTATTTTTTGTGGAATTTAACAAACTTTTTCCTCTAAAATGTGGTTTGAAGTCTTACCCTCGGCTGTTATCATCACTGTGGCTTTGTCCATACCCACATATGCCATGTATGGCCTGCATAAACTCACTTTGGGCAATGTAAGTTTCAGCGTTTCTTCGATTGCCAACAATTGTTGGCGATTTCCAAAATTCTTATATAATCCCACTTTATAATGGATAATTTTACATTTTCTTAACATAATTTTAAGGAATTGACAAAAAAACAATTGAAATTTACAAAAACACTGTTTAAATTAATGGTTACTTTGTAAGTTTCCTACTTTTAACAAACTTTCTTTTTATTATTTCACTTTTAGGCCTACCGCCGCAACTTGGATGAACGTTTTGATCGTGTTATGTATTTGCGCGACAGACGACTAACCGACAATCCCTATCTCATGAATGTAAGTGTTAAATGAATTTGTTTATAAACAATAATAGCACATTTAAGTTTGGTGCAGTTTTTAAGAAAATCATAATTGTGTCGAAATATCAAAATTAATGTTTAAGCAATAATTTTTTTTTAGTTTAGTGGGATTTGTTATTATTAATATATTCTGAAAGTATGTTATAAATACATGTTTAATTATTATTAATTATTGTTTAATATTTAATAATCAAATACTTATTATTAATATATTCTGAAAATATGTTACAAAGTATGTTATAAATTCATGCATAATTATTATTAATTTTTGTTTAATACTTAATAATCAAATACTCGTATAACCTAATTAAGCCGGGTGCAAATTACTGGGAAATAGCGAATTATACTCCTTCAATTAAAGTGATCATAAATTATTATTGTTTTCTACTTTGATCTCTCTCTCTGAATTGGGTCTTACTAATAGAGTCGATTTCAGCGCACGTAAAACACAATGCACAGTGGTATAGGAAAAAAAAAGAGGGAAATAATTCGGTAACTTCTAAACGGTTAATCCGATTTTAATGAAATTTGGTATGCACAAAGAGGAGGTGTTGTCGAGTTTAGGTTTTAAATTTGGACCTTATAGGCCAACCAGGGGCCCGGCGGGGGGGTCCTCAAATTAGGACACCTCGGCTATGTTAAATTTTTAAAATTATCCTATTTCTTCATTTGAGTTCCGATCGAGCACTATAAATTAGCAGTAAATTATCTCTTATAGCAGTAAATTATCTCTTATAGTTTAGGAGATATTCCCATTTGAAAATTAAAATTTTAAAATTTTTACCGTCCTTACTTTAGTTTTTTTGATAATAGCGAGTCCAAATATTCCCGATTTTCGCCATTTTTATTCGCTTAACAACAAGTTTATATATCAAGCAGTGAAAGAATTATGTAAAAATTATGACTGAGTCCAAGGTTATAGGCATTTTAATTTAAAAAATAAAAAAAGGCGATTTTTTGTCATTTTTTTGGGAAAAAAGTATCTTTTTCTTTTTAAGTTATCTAAAAAGTTTCTAAGAAGATGTATATAGAATTTATACTTTTTGGAAAGCTGACTTTACATAAAGTACGATAAATGAAACAAAACCTAAAAATTTTTGATACCGAGGGGACCAGGTCCATCCAAAAAAACCCAATTTTTTATGGAAAATTCAATTTTGAGCAAAAATTCTCAAATCGCATAGTCGATATCAAATTATAGTGACCTGTTTTATATGACCCAATATGTTCTTAATCATTTTGTAACGGGTTTCGATAACCCCGCCCCTGGTATGGATATAATAGGCAAAAAACCAAAAAATCCCATTTTTGGGATTTTTTAAAACTTTTTTTGGGAATTCCTGGACTTCTAATAAGAAAATTCGAAATTTTTATTTAATTTTGGATTTTGATTAAAAAAATCTACCTAACTGTAAAATTTCATCAAAAAATATTCATAAATAAAATTTTTATTGCAATTTGAAAAATTTGTATCTTCGCAAAAACTGAATAAAAAACATTTTTTAATTTTTTTTAAAAAAAGTATTCCGCGAATTTTTTAATTTTCAAAAATTATATACAGTTTTGAAAAATAGACAAAATTACCTTTCCATTGATATATAACATGCCTACCTAATGTTTTTTAAGTGACAAATTAATTAGGGAAAACTCAACATCTTTTAGAAAATTTACATAGCACTATTATTTTCATCCATAAGGTTAACTCTTAAATTTGTTACATATATGGATGAAAATAATAGTGCTAGGTAAATTTTCTAAAAGATGTGTACATACATATTTCAAGTGTCAAAAGAAGTTTGTCGGTTTTCTTAAACGGTTTAAAACATATTTACTCCCTCCGACCTCTTTACTATCTACACCACTTATATCCGCCCTAAAATAGAATACAATTCTAATGTATGGGCCGGCGCTTCAAAGTCTATTTTGGATCTACTTGACCGCTTACAGGAGAGGGCGAAAGTACTTATCGGTAACAGTAGGGTATCCAACTCTATTGTCTGAAATTAGGGAACTTGTTCCCGAGACCCGCATATTCACACGTAGCACACGTCATACAGCTAAAGCACACCACTTTGTGGTCAAATGGCCAGTGGATCGCACAATGCACTACAGAGAGAATTCCTTCTTTAGTCATGCTGTCCTGTCGCTTGCAATGTGGTGTTAAATCGAATGTCCTCAAACACTACTCCCTCTATTTCCTAGTTCCAACTCAAAAAACTCCATAATGTCGACTAAAGTATATATTATAGGCACTAGCCTAAACTACGGTCCCTGGTCTACACTAAAGAAAACCTCATAGTCTAGACTAGATACTAGTTTGTAGTATAGAACAGAAAGTAATCTATAGTTTAGAACTGACCTAGAGCTGAACTAGAACTGAACTAGAACTGAACTAGAACTGAACTAGAACTGAACTAGAACTGAACTAGAACTGAACTAGAACTGAACTAGAACTGAACTAGAACTGAACTAGAACTGAACTAGAACTGAACTAGACTAGAACTGAACTAGAACTGAACTAGAACTGAACTAGAACTGAACTAGAACTGAAATAGAACTGAACTAGAACTGAACTAGAACTGAACTAGAACTGAACTAGAACTGAACTAGAACTGAACTAGAACTGAACTAGAACTGAACTTGAACTGAACTTGAACTGAACTTGAACTGAACTTGAACTGAACTTGAACTGAACTTGAACTGAACTGAACTTGAACTGAACTTGAACTAGAACTGAAATAGAACTGAACTAGAACTGAACTAGAACTGAACTAGAACTGAACTAGAACTGAACTAGAACTGAACTAGAACTGAACTAGAACTGAACTAGAACTGAACTAGAACTGAACTTGAACTGAACTTGAACTGAAATAGAACTGAACTAGAAACTGAACTAGAACTGAACTAGAACTGAACTAGAACTGAACTAGAACTGAACTAGAACTGAACTAGAACTGAACTAGAACTGAACTAGAACTGAACTAGAACTGAACTAAACTGAACTAGAAACTGAACTAGAACTGAACTAGAACTGAACTAGAACTGAACTAGAACTGAACTAGAACTGAACTAGAACTGAACTAGAACTGAACTAGAACTGAACTAGAACTGAACTAGAACTGAACTAGAACTGAACTAGAACTGAACTAGAACTGAACTAGAACTGAACTAGAACTGAACTAGAACTGAACTAGAACTGAACTAGAACTGAACTAGAACTGAACTAGAACTGAACTAGAACTGAACTAGAACTGAACTAGAACTGAACTAGAACTGAACTAGAACTGAACTAGAACTGAACTAGAACTGAACTAGAACTGAACTAGAACTGACTAGAACTGAACTAGAACTGAACTAGAACTGAACTAGAACTGAACTAGAACTGAACTAGAACTGAACTAGAACTGAACTAGAACTGAACTAGAACTGAACTAGAACTGAACTAGAACTGAACTAGAACTGAACTAGAACTGAACTAGAACTGAACTAGAACTGAACTAGAACTGAACTAGAACTGAACTAGAACTGAACTAGAACTGAACTAGAACTGACTAGAACTGAACTAGAACTGAACTAGAACTGAACTAGAACTGAACTAGAACTGAACTAGAACTGAACTAGAACTGAACTAGAACTGAACTAGAACTGAACTAGAACTGAACTAGAACTGAACTAGAACTGAACTAGAACTGAACTAGAACTGAACTGGAACTGAACTAGAACTGAACTAGAACTGAACTAGAACTGAACTAGAACTGAACTAGAACTGAACTAGAACTGAACTAGAACTGAACTAGAACTGAACTAGAACTGAACTAGAACTGAACTAGAACTGAACTAGAACTGAACTAGAACTGAACTAGAACTGAACTAGAACTGAACTAAAACTGAACTAGAGCTGATTTAGAACTGAACTAGAAACTGAACTAGAACTGAACTAGAACTGAACTAGAACTGAACTAGAACTGAACTAGAACTGAACTAGAACTGAACTAGAACTGAACTAGAACTGAACTAGAACTGAACTAGAACTGAATTAGAACTGAACTAAAACTGAACTAGAACTGAACTAAAACTGAACTAGAACTGAACTAGAACTGAACTAGAACTGAACTAGAACTGAACTAGAACTGAACTAGAACTGAACTAGAACTGAACTAGAACTGAACTAGAACTGAACTAGAACTGAACTAGAACTGAACTAGAACTGAACTAGAACTGAACTAGAACTGAACTAGAACTGAACTAGAACTGAACTAGAACTAATCTAGAACTAAACTAGAACTGAACTAGAACTGAAATAGAACTGAACTAGAACTGAACTAGAACTGAATTAGAACTGAACTAAAACTGAACTAGAACTGAACTAAAACTGAACTAGAACTGAACTAGAAATGAGCTAGAACTGTTTGTTTTTCATCAAACAGTTTCTTATTGGATTCGTGATCTATTAAAATTCTCCTATTTACAATAAAATTAACTTCATTTCCACTTTCCTAAGAGGATTTAACTAAGAGATTTGAATGAATATCAAATGATTACAAATTACAGAATTCGAATGGAAGCTTTTTATCTAAATTTTAATCCAAGTTGAAAAATTAAAACTGTTTTAAAGTAAGAAAAGTTTTGAAATGTATTTCAGTGTAGCATTAAAGTTCTATTTTTAATTCCCCACCCATTTTGTTTACAACAAAATTTCCCTTAAGAATCATTAATTTTAATGCGTATTAATTAACTAAATGTGTTTTTCCTTGTTTTTTTTTTTCTAGGGTTTGGAACAAATTCCCGATGAGAAGTAAATTCAAACATTATTCGTATGCCGCCAAATAAATTTGGAAAATAATAGTTTAAAAAACGATAATGTAAAGTTTTGAAATAATTAAATTAATAAAATAAAACAATATAAATTCCAAAAAAAAAAAAACAAAATTTATTTTCATAAACAATGTGAAAGAAGAGTAACAACAACATTTGCATGTAATAATAATGAAAACTCTAGAGGAAATAAGAAACAGGCAGTAAACTAAAGGAATGCAGTTTTGATTTAAAGTTTAAAATATAAGTAATTTAGGGATTAAACGGAGTTAATTGAACACCTTTTAAGGATTTCTTCTTTAAGTTAAGTTGAAAATTATTTAAAAAAGTTATTTTTAGTAAAATCAAGCATTTTAGTCTTTAATAATTTCAAAATTTCATTGTTTTCGAAACTGTAATAATACTTTATAAATATAGCTGTATATACTTTAGAGTCCTGCCACCATACGAACAACAAAAACAACCCTGTTTTGTTTTATTCCTAGTTTACAATAAGTAATGTTACTTTTCGTGGCAAAAACCACCCTTATGCAAAGAATGAGTTATAGTTTATGGCTTATTTTTGCTCCCATATATAAATATATAACAACAGCTCCTACAACAACTACTGACTGCCGCTACTCATACTACTGAATCGCAGCCACAAAATAATGTCAATTTTGCAAAAACTCTAAAAAGAAATACAACAAAAGGCGTCGTCGGTCGGTGGTTAGATGTTTATTTGGTCGTTTTTGCGTTGTTTAGATTACTTTTGCCATGAAAATAAACTAAAAGTGAAATGTTTTGCTAAGAAATTTTAAGATTTTATAGCATTTTTTAAACAATTATAATGGAAATTTTATTAAATACCAATTTTATTTCAACAACAAATGCAAATTGAAAGTGTTTATCTAATGTGTATGTAGTGGCGTGTTAAAATCATTAAAACCGAAGCAGAATAATAAAAATATAATGATTTGCGGTTGGAGGAGTGTCAAGATGAAAGACAGCTTAAATTTATTTGATCCAGTTTCAAGTTCTAGCTCTAAAATTAAGTTAAACCGTTTCTGCCCTAGACTGCATTTAAACTCCCAGCAAAAAAAGACGTGCAAAAAAAGTAGTAAATGCATGGGTTGAACTGATAATGAACTGGTTCATATTTAGGGGAAACATGCATGATTTTAACATTAGCGTGTCATTGGCATGCATGGGTTCGTATTTGCAAAAATAGTTCGTCATTTAATTGAGTTCTTGTAACCAATGAATATTCGATGATTCTCAAGCGAATTTTCATTGGTGCACTATATTTATTTAAAAATGCATTATTGGTACTTCGATTTAATTATCAATATTTAAATAATTTGTTTGAGTGATATTGACAAAAATAGAATAAGATAAAACATAACTAACTGATTTTGATTGGATTTAAATTCATGCAGAGGAAAAATACCCATTGTGTTTTAAAATCCGTTAAGCAGTCTTGGTTTTTTCCTTCTCTTATTAATGGACTTAATATTACTAATTTTAACAAAAATCTAATAAAAAAAATTAATGTCATTTTTAATCTTTATTGTATGAAATGCACGTTTTCGTTAAATCTCCTAAGAGAATACCAAATTACAGTAAAATATTACAATTCCTATAGTGGAGTTACATGAGTGAATTTGGGTGCATTTTTCATGCCTTCACTGATGACAAATTTATTAGAATTTAGGCATGTATTTAAAACGCATTAAATAGAATACTTACTAAAGAAATCATGAAAATATCCCTTCTTCTTTAACAACTTCAAAATTTTTTTGCTGGGCTATATTATATTAGTGCTTTTTATATGGTCCTTCGCCACTACCACTAGCGCCAAGACATATCATCCGGAAGATTTTAATACCGTCCGTCATCATCATCAGCATTTAAGTCGACAGCCCAGACAGCAAAGAGATTCCCTTAACGAGGAAAAAGGTTACTGTGCTCCTTACAATGGAAAAATTTGTAAACATTTCATAAATCATAATGTGTGGTATAGTCGTGAGGATCCTTGGAAAAATGAACAGATTACCACTGCCTTGTGGGAGGAATTAATTGGTGACCTGACGGGTTTGTGTCGTGCAGCAGCAGAGGTGTGTTTGTTTCTGCGGACTCTTAATAACGACGTTTTTATTTAAATCATCTTCCTTTTCTTTCTATGTATCTAGAAACTTCTTTGTGCTTATGCCTTTCCTAGTTGTTTAATGGAAAATGGTTTAACTATTAAATTGCCTCTCTGCTATGAGGACTGCACTGCTATTCATTTACAATACTGCTACAATGATTGGGTTCTAATCGAGGAAAAGAAAGAACGTAATATTTATATTAAAAGTCGTGGTCATTTTCGTCTACCCAACTGCTCAATATTGCCCAAATACAATAGTACTTTGAAGCGACCGAACTGTTCGTATGTGGGCTTAACGGAAATTAAAGAGGATGAAGTTAGCTGTAAGTATAACATTTTAAATGGAAAGTTCTAGTTCTGTTCTAGTTCAGTTCTAGTTCAGTTCTAGTTCAGTTCTAGTTCAGTTCTAGTTCAGTTCTAGTTCAGTTCTAGTTCAGTTCTAGTTCAGTTCTAGTTCAGTTCTAGTTCAGTTCTAGTTCAGTTCTAGTTCAGTTCTAGTCAGTTCTAGTTCAGTTCTAGTTCAGTTCTAGTTCAGTTCTAGTTCAGTTTCTAGTTCAGTTCTAGTTCAGTTCTAGTTCAGTTCTAGTTCAGTTCTAGTTCAGTTCTAGTTCAGTTCTAGTTCAGTTCTAGTTCAGTTCTAGTTCAGTTCTAGTTCAGTTCTAGTTCAGTTCTAGTTCAGTTTCTAGTTCAGTTCTAGTTCAGTTCTAGTTCAGTTCTAGTTCAGTTCTAGTTCAGTTTCTAGTTCAGTTCTAGTTCAGTTCTTAGTTCAGTTCTAGTTCAGTTCTAGTTCAGTTCTAGTTCAGTTCTAGTTCAGTTCTAGTTTCAGTTCTAGTTCAGTTTCTAGTTTAGTTCTAGTTCAGTTCTAGTTTCAGTTCTAGTTTCAGTTCTAGTTCAGTTCAGTTAGTTCTAGTTCAGTTCTAGTTCAGTTCTAGTTCAGTTTCTAGTTCAGTTTAGTTGAGTTCTAGTTTGAGTTCTAGTTCAGTACTAGTTCAGTTAGTTGAGTCTAGTTCAGTTCTAGTTCAGTTCTAGTTCAGTTCTAGTTCAGTTCTATTTCAGTTCTAGTTCAGTTCTATTTCAGTTCTAGTCAGTTCTAGTTCAGTTCTAGTTCAGTTCTAGTTCAGTTCTAGTTCAGTTCTAGTTCAGTTTCTAGTTCAGTTCTAGTTCAGTTCTAGTTCAGTTCTAGTTCAGTTCTAGTTCAGTTCTAGTTCAGTTCTAGTTCAGTTCTAGTTCAGTTCTAGTTCAGTTCTAGTTCAGTTCTAGTTCAGTTCTAGTTCAGTCTAGTTAGTTCTAGTTCAGTTCTAGTTTGTTAGTAGTTCTAGTTCAGTTCTAGTTCAGTTCTAGTTCAGTTCTAGTTCAGTTCTAGTTCAGTTCTAGTTCAGTTCTAGTTTCAGTTCTAGTTCAGTTCTAGTTCAGTTCTAGTTCAGTTCTAGTTCAGTTCTAGTTCAGTTCTAGTTCAGTTCTAGTTCAGTTCTAGTTCAGTTCTAGTTCAGTTCTAGGTCAGTTCTAGTTTCATTTCTAGTTCAGTTCTAGTTCAGTTCTAGTTCAGTCTAGTTCAGTTCTAGTTCAGTTCTAGTTCAGTTCTAGTTCAGTTCTAGTTCAGTTCTAGTTCAGTTCTAGTTTCAGTTCTAGTTCAGTTCTAGTTCAGTTCTAGTTCAGTTCTAGTTCAGTTCTAGTTCAGTTCTAGTTCAGTTCTAGTTCAGTTCTAGTTCAGTTCTAGTTCAGTTCTAGTTCAGTTCTAGTTCAGTTCTAGTTCAGTTCTAGTTCAGTTCTAGTTCAGTTCTAGTTCAGTTCTAGTTCAGTTCTAGTTCAGTTCTAGTTCAGTTCTAGTTCAGTTCTTCAGTTAGTTCAGTTCTAGTTCAGTTCTGGTTCAGTTCTAGTTCAGTTCTAGTTCAGTTCTAGTTCAGTTCTAGTTCAGTTCTAGTTCAGTTCTAGTTCAGTTCTAGTTCAGTTCTAGTTCAGTTCTAGTTCAGTTCTAGTTCAGTTCTAGTTCAGTTCTAGTTCAGTTCTAGTTCAGTTCTAGTTCAGTTAAGTTCAGTTCTAGTTCTAGTTCTAGTTCAGTTCTAGTTCAGTTCTAGTTCAGTTCAGTTCTAGTTCAGTTCTAGTTCAGTTCTAGTTCAGTTCTAGTTCAGTTCTAGTTCAGTTCTAGTTCAGTTCTAGTTCAGTTCTAGTTCAGTTCTAGTTCAGTTCTAGTTCAGTTCTAGTTCAGTTCTAGTTCAGTTCTAGTTCAGTTCTAGTTTCAGTTCTAGTTCAGTTCTAGTTCAGTTCTAGTTCAGTTCTAGTTCAGTTCTAGTTCAGTTCTAGTTCAGTTCTAGTTCAGTTCTAGTTCAGTTCTTGTTCTAGTTCAGTTCTAGTTCAATTCTACTTCAGTTCTCGCACAGTTGTAGTTCAGTTCCACTTCAGTTTAAATTCATTTATTTTCTTTCCCAGATGACTGTCGCAATGGTAACGGCCGTTACTATTTGGGCACCATGAATGTTACAAAATCGGGTATACCCTGTCAGAGATGGGACACACAACATCCGCATAAACATATACAACCTCCTCTAGTGTTTCCACAAATCAAAAATGGTGAAAATTATTGTCGCAATGCTGGAGGAGAGGAACCCTTTCCCTGGTGTTATACAGTAGATGAATCAGTGCGTTGGCAACATTGTGATATACCCATGTGTCGTAAGTAGTCCATTATGAAATGTTTTTGTAATTAATTCACATAATTTTGTATTCATTTAAACTTTCAGCCGACTATATAGATCATTCACTGAAGGATTTGGATCCCATACAAATGGAAACTTTCTTTACACCCTATGTTATCTTCATGTTGGCCGGATTTGGTTTCATAGCCATTGTTGCTTTACATCTTCTCGTCTTATTATTGTATAAAATTTCCAAAACTAAAGAATACCATCAGCAACAACAATCCAATCAGAATCCCACTTCGGAATGTAATATTTCATCGAGGGGGGTAAATGCCGTTAATACTACACCCGGCAATAATATGGACTGTAATAATCTTACATCAAGTCGCGAAACTTTAGGTTCTCATCAGACTATGGCTCATAATAAATTTGGTACTATTAAAAGTACGGTTACAGTACACAATGTTGTGGAGCCTCCGAAAACTGCTTTAAATACAAAATTGGAAAAATTGGAATACCCTCGTGGGGATGTGGTCTATGTGAGATCTTTGGGTCAGGGAGCATTTGGAAGAGTGTTTCAGGTAAGGTTCACGTAGTTCAGTTCCAGTTCAGTTCTAGTTCAGTTCTAGTTCAGTTCTAGTTCAGTTCTAGTTCAGTTCTAGTTCAGTTCTAGTTCAGTTCTAGTTCAGTTCTAGTTCAGTTCTAGTTCAGTTCTAGTTCAGTTCTAGTTCAGTTCTAGTTCAGTTCTAGTTCAGTTCTAGTTCAGTTCTAGTTCAGTTCTAGTTCAGTTCTAGTTCAGTTCTAGTTCAGTTCTAGTTCAGTTCTAGTTCAGTTCTAGTTCAGTTCTAGTTCAGTTCTAGTTCAGTTCTAGTTCAGTTCTAGTTCAGTTCTAGTTCAGTTCTAGTTCAGTTCTAGTTCAGTTCTAGTTCAGTTCTAGTTCAGTTCTAGTTCAGTTCTAGTTCAGTTCTAGTTCAGTTCTGGTTCAGTTTTATTTCAGTTCTATTTCAGTTCTAGTTCAGTTCTAGTTCAATTCTAGTTCGGTTCTAGTTCAGTTCTAGTTCAGTTCTAGTTCAGTTCTATTTCATTTCTAGTTCAGTTCTAATTCAGTTCTAGTTCAGTTCTAGTTCAGTTCTAGTTCAGTTCTAGTTCAGTTCTAGTTCAGTTCTGGTTCAGTTCTATTTCAGTTCTAGTTCAGTTCTAGTTCTGTTCTAGTTCAGTTCTAGTTCAGTTCTAGTTCAGTTCTAGTTCAGTTCTAGTTCAGTTCTAGTTCAGTTCTAGTTCCGTTCTAGTTCAGTTCTAGTTCAGTTCTAGTTCAGTTCTAGTTCAATTCTAGTTCGGTTCTAGTTCAATTCTAGTTCAGTTCTACTTCTGATCATTCTAGACTATAATATAGACGGGAGTCTGTAGCCTAGACGATTGAATAGACTAGACCCTAGACAAAGGGTTGATTATAGTCCTTGAGACTATATTATAGTCTCAGGGTCTTCAGTCTTAACTACTATTAAAAGTTAAAATAAAAGTTACAAACTCACATCTTTTATTAACATATGATTACACCTCTTTCAGGCCAAAGCCCCCGGTCTGGTGCCCGGTTACGATGATCTTATGGTGGCAGTTAAAATGCTCAAAGATGATGCCAGCGATCAAATGCAAATGGATTTTGAGAGAGAAGCTTGTCTGCTTGCCGAATTCGATCATCCCAATATAGTCAAGCTATTAGGAGTATGTGCTCTGGGTCGGCCCATGTGTTTACTCTTCGAATTTATGTCTCCCGGTGATCTTAGTGAATTTTTAAGATCTTGTTCTCCTTATGCCACTCACACACTGCAACAAAGAGAGACCCTGCATGAGGGTCATCTATTACATATCGGAGCTCAGGTGGCAGCGGGTATGGTTTATTTATCGGAACGTAAATTTGTTCATCGTGATTTGGCCACCCGAAATTGTTTGATTAATGAACAAATGGTTGTAAAAATTGCCGATTTCGGTTTATCGCATAAAATCTATTTGCAGGACTATTATAAAGGAGATGAAAATGATGTTATACCCATACGTTGGATGCCCTTGGAAAGTATATTGTATAATAAGTTTTCCATAGAATCAGATGTCTGGGCTTATGGCATTTGTTTATGGGAAATATTCTCTTTCGCTTTACAACCCTATTACGGATTAACGCATGAAGAAGTTATTAAATTCATTAAAGAGGGCAATGTTTTAAGTTGTCCCGATAATACACCCATGTCGGTGTATGCTCTCATGCGTCGCTGCTGGAATCGTAAGCCCAGTGAAAGACCCAGTTTTCATGAAATCAATCATTGTATACAGCACAGTATAGCGGAATATGAGTGTAAAACGGCATTAGATATGGGAAATTAATTTAAGTTTTATTTAAAATATCTATTGAGAAAATTAATTTTCTTTTAAATTTTGGTTCCTTATTTTTATTATAAACAAAAAGCAGAAGAAACTTCCATAGGATGTAATTTGTGGGGCGATTTCAACGAAAAGCAACTAAAACATCTTGTAAAATATACTGGCCAGATAGTTTTAAACGACTCTCATATATACATAATCATTTATGAATCCAAAAAAAAATATTTACTCTTTATACTCAAAAATTTCAAATCTTAACATTTTTAATTTTCAAAATTTTAAATTGAAAACCATTTTATGGCAACATGTTTTTAAATCTAATTTTACAATCTCGGTAACAATAAAGTGTCTCTTTAAGAATTGAAATCAAACAAATAATAATAAATTAATAAAATACAAAATAAAAACAACCATTTTTTATCACACTCTAATGTTGTGAAATTTACGAAACGAAATGAAAATATCTGAAAAAAAGCATTTACAAAATTTACGAAATAATATTTAACAAAAACAAAAAAAAAATATTTATCATTAGTCTGTAAAATTGTATTTTGTAAGTTCAAAAAATATAAATTTTTTAGTAGAGAACATTTTTCATATAAATGTATTTATAATTCTACTGTAATAAATAAAATAAAAGTCCATTAATGTGTAAAATTTTGAACGTGAATGTAGTTTTACTTGAAATCTTCGATTATTATATAAACACCAAAGCAGAAGTTTAAAAATTTTGATTGTATTAGGGCACAACTTTTCACCATTGAACATTAATTAATTTTAGTTCTAGTTAAGTTCTAGTTTAGTTCTAGTTCTGTTCTAGTTCAGTTCTAGTTCAGTTCTAGTTCAGTTCTAGTTCAGTTCTAGTTCAGTTCTAGTTCAGTTCTAGTTCAGTTCTAGTTCAGTTCTAGTTCAGTTTCTAGTTCAGTTCTAGTTCAGTTCTAGTTCAGTTCTACTCAGTTCTACTTCAGTTCTACTTCAGTTCTAGTTCAGTTCTAGTTCAGTTCTAGTTCAGTTCTAGTTCAGTTCTAGTTCAGTTCTAGTTCAGTTCTAGTTCAGTTCTAGTTCAGTTCTAGTTCAGTTCTACTTCAGTTCTACTTCAGTTCTAGTTCAGTTCTAGTTCAGTTCTAGTTCAGTTCAGTTCTAGTTCAGTATCTAGTTCAGTTCTAGTTTCAGTTCCTAGTCAGTTCTAGTTCAGTTCTAGTTCAGTTCTAGTTTCAGTTCTAGTCAGTTCTAGTTCAGTTCTAGTTTCAGTTCTAGTTCAGTTCTAGTTCAGTTCTAGCTTCAGTTCTAGTTCAGTTCTAGTTCAGTTCTAGTTCAGTTCTGTTCAGTTCTAGTTCAGTCAGTTCTAGTTCAGTTCTAGTTCAGTTCTAGTTCAGTTCTAGTTCAGTTCTAGTTCAGTTCTAGTTCCGTTCTAGTTCAGTTCTAGTTCAGTTCTAGTTCAGTTCTAGTTCAGTTCTAGTTCAGTTTAGTTCAGTTCTAGTTCAGTTCTAGTTCAGTTCTAGTTCAGTTCTAGTTCAGTTCTAGTTCAGTTCTAGTTCAGTTGTCTTAGTTCAGTTCTAGTTCAGTTCTAGTTCAGTTCTAGTTCAGTTCTAGTTCAGTTCTAGGTCAGTTCTAGTTCAGTTCTAGTTCAGTTCTAGTTCAGTTCAGTTCATTCTAGTTCTAGTTCAGTTCTAGTTCAGTTCTAGTTCAGTTCTAGTTCAGTTCTAGTTTCAGTTCTAGTTCAGTTCTAGTTCAGTTCTAGTTCAGTTCTAGTTCAGTTCTAGTTCAGTTCTAGTTCAGTTCTAGTTCAGTTCTAGTTCAGTTCTAGTTCAGTTCTAGTTCAGTTCTAGTTCAGTTCTAGTTCAGTTCTAGTTCAGTTCTAGTTCAGTTCTAGTTCAGTTCTAGTTCAGTTCTAGTTCAGTTCTAGTTCAGTTCTAGTTCAGTTCTAGTTCAGTTCTAGTTCAGTTCTAGTTCAGTTCTAGTTCAGTTCTAGTTCAGTTCTAGTTCAGTTCTAGTTCAGTTCTAGTTCAGTTCTAGTTCAGTTCTAGTTCAGTTCTAGTTCAGTTCTAGTTCAGTTCTAGTTCAGTTCTAGTTCAGTTCTAGTTCAGTTCTAGTTCAGTTCTAGTTCAGTTCTAGTTCAGTTCTAGTTCAGTTCTAGTTTCAGTTCTAGTTCAGTTCTAGTTCAGTTCTAGTTCAGTTCTAGTTCAGTTCTAGTTCAGTTCTAGTTCAGTTCTAGTTCAGTTCTAGTTCAGTTCTAGTTCAGTTCTAGTTCAGTTCTAGTTCAGTTCTAGTTCAGTTCTAGTTCAGTTCTACTTCAGTTCTACTTCAGTTCTAGTTCAGTTCTAGTTCAGTTCTCTTTCAGTTCTAGTTCAGTTTCTAGTTCAGTTCTAGTTCAGTTCTACTTCAGTTCTACTTCAGTTCTACTTCAGTTCAGTTCTAGTTCAGTTCTAGTTCAGTTCTAGTTCAGTTCGAGTTCAGTCCCAGTTCAGTTCTAGTTCAGTTCTATTTCAGTTCTAGTTCAGTTCTAATTCAGTTCTAATTCAGTTCTAGTTCAGTTCTAGTTCAGTTCTGATTCAGTTCTAATTCAGTTCTAATTCAGTTCTAGTTCAGTTTTAATTCAGTTCCAGTTCTGTTCTAGTTCAGTTCAACATCATCTTTAGTTTGGTTCAAGTTTTTGATGGTTTCTCAAAAAATGTTGTAGTATAAGGCGAAACTGCAAGATAAAAATGTGAATTTGAGAGTTTATCATTTAATAAATGGAGAATAAAGAGCAATAAAATAAACTACAGCTGAATATTAATTGTAAAATTTAAAATATTAAAAGACTTTCTTTTGCCTCTACACCAAAAACATCTAAACAACAAAAGAATTAATTTGCATTTTCCTAACAAAAACATACAAATGCATACATTCACGATCTATATAGTAGTTATGCTCGAAAAATTAAGACTTCACTCTACACCGGCAGAGAGTTTGAACAAGTAAACAAGTGTTTTGTTTTCTTTTTGTGATCTTCATGAAATCCCAGCTTAGATTCACTGCTCAAAACAGGCACGCAGTCAGTACTCTTTGGGCATTCATTGCGACAACTAGACGGTAATAAGCTACGGAAACGTTACGTAGTCATACAATTCAATCCAGTTAATTACTTGCTGGTATTATTTTAGATTTTGTAAAGCTTGTTTTTTTAAGTAAATAATTTAAGTGAATTGAAAAAATAAACATTTTAGAGTGTGTTTTTTTACAAAGAAATCGGTGTTTTTTCTTTAATTTTTTTTTTGAACAAAAAGCACTATTAAACAGCCAGTCTTGTCGAACATAAAATTAAAGAAATAACCCACTAATTGGCTGTGCAAATACATATACCATACTATGCCAAAATAATATTAAAAAAAGTTTATGCATTTCGATATTATTGCAGTTAGTGTTAATAAATAAAACTTTAAACAACTTATTTAAACAAATTAGTTTCTTTAAAAACAAAAATAAATTGTTAAAAATATAAATTTAAACTTGTGGTTACTTAAGAGAAATTTTCCTAAAAAAAAATAATAATAAAGAAAAGAAAACAAAAACCTTTATTTTTAACTCGATATTGATTGCAAAACGGAAATATTATTTATTCAAGTAGAAAATCAATACAAACAATGAAAGTAGTTGTTAAATAAAGTGTCTTTATAATAAATTATTTGAAACCATACGAAACGTATAAAAATGGTTAGACGAGTTACAAAAATAAAATAGAAAATAATTTAGAAATTGTTTAAAAGTTATGCCATCACTGTAAAACCAAAGCTAATTGGTTTAGTTAAACTAATAAGCTTCTTCGTTTAAAGTACTTTAAACTAAGTTTAACTAAACTAGCATGTCGGAAATTAATATTCGAGTGACAAACAAATATTAAAAAAATTTCAAAATTTTATGCACAACTTTTTGATGAAGCATCGGCGAATTTTTTTTGCAGTAACTGAAGTTTTTTGGGCATTTGTATTACTTTTTGGAAAAAAGAAGAGTTTTTTTTGTTTTGGTTTAACTCACGATACATGGATTTTTTGTAAAAGTTACTGACCCTTTTTTTGGTTAATATTAAATCTTTTAGATTTCTTTATGAATGCAAATCCAAAATATTTTTGTCATTTTAAGTAGATGAGCTAGTGTTTGGCTAATCTAAGGACTATTGATTAGTCTATAAGGTACTTTCTGGAATAGTTTATAGATTAGTGTACTGACTAGTCTACTAACCATTTTGTGCATTAGTCCATTGACTATTTCTACTTGTGGACTGGTGCATAAACTTGTCCATGGACTTACCTACTGATTTGTCTATCCAAAACTGATTTCGAACTGAACTAGAACTGAAACTGGATCTAGAACTGAACTAGAACTGAACTAGAACTGAACTAGAACTGAACTAGAACTGAACTAGAACTGAACTAGAACTGAACTAGAACTGAACTAGAACTGAACTAGAACTGAACTAGAACTGAACTAGAACTGAACTAGAACTGAACTAGAACTGAACTAGAACTGAACTAGAACTGAACTAGAACTGAACTAGAACTGAACTAGAACTGAACTAGAACTGAACTAGAACTGAACTAGAACTGAACTAGAACTGAACTAGAACTGAACTAGAAGTGAACTAGAACTGAACTAGAACTAGAACTGAACTAGAACTGAACTAGAACTAGAACTGAACTAGAACTGAACTAGAACTGAACTAGAACTGAACTAGAACTGAACTAGAACTGAACTAGAACTGAACTAGAACTGAACTAGAACTGAACTAGAACTGAACTAGAACTGAACTAGAACTGAACTAGAACTGAACTAGAACTGAACTAGAACTAAACTAGAACTGAACTAGAACTGAACTAGAACTGAACTAGAACTAAACTAGAACTAAACTAGAACTGAACTAGAACTGAACTAGAACTGAACTAGAACTGAACTAGAACTGAACTAGAACTGAACTAGAACTGAACTAGAACTGAACTAGAACTGAACTAGAACTGAACTAGAACTGAAATAGAACTGAAATAGAACTGAACTAGAACTGAATTCCCAAGAGTATTGAATATCATGGTGCTCTTAACTGCAAAAGACCAAGTTATTTTATAACCCCAATGGAAGGGGAACTGTCACAAAACTAGACCCAAAACAGGTTCCTTAATAGTATGGAATAGTTGTAAATCTAACCATTTATTACTTGCAATCTATTTATTATAGATTTTTAGTGGACCACTTAACGAACATTAGAGCTTTTGTTATTCAATGTACTGATCTAAATCAGATGTGGATCCGGTAACTCAGTTGTCTCAATTTTCTTTTTCTAAAAAATTGATTAGTCCAATATTATGGTCAAATATTTTATAAATAATTCATATTAATTGCAAGGGTTTTATAAGAAAGTTTATTTTTAAGAGAATATTTTCTGTCAAAGTCGTTAAAGTCTGCCTCTCAGTGGCTCATTTTGACAGTTACTTGTTTTATTTGCAAACGAATAATTGTTTACTCTAAGCTTTCCAATAGGCGTTATTGCACTTGTTGCCTCATTCACCAAATAGTTTAAAAGTATTAGCTCTTTTGCAATTTCTTGTTCCATATGTGTATATGGAAGCCATAGCTGCCCCAGCACTTCCTGCTTTTCTTCATATTTTCTTTTGTTTTTATTAACAATGTATCTGTCGGTTGCACTTCATTAAATTTTGCGTGTGAGATATATTTTAATTACAGTTGGCAAGTGTCTAGGAGTAATTAAATATGAACGTACGATTTTTATATTATAAACATATTGTATAAATAATATAAATAATATTGAACTTGAGCTTAAAATAAAATATGTGCTAGTGGAAAGAAAATTTGGTGAAAAAAAAAAAATTGTATATGAAGATAACACTTTTAAAGAAAAGTTTATGAAAGAAGAAAATGTAGATCAATAGAGAGTAACGGTTTTTTACCTGAGACAAATTGCGGCGATCGAAAATTTTCTGTAAAAAGAAGATTTATCAAAAATATTTTCTATAAAATGATAAATTATCGAAAATATTTTCTATAAGATAGGAAAATTTATCAAAAACTTTCTATAAAATTTTCGAAAAATTTCGATTTTTACGTTTAACTTTTCGCATACTTCCCCTCTTTTCAAAAAATTGCAGTTAATAGTTTTTTACATAACACTACGCGCATGCGCACCTAAATTATAAACCAACGAGAAGACCCCATAGGAAATATTAAACAGACAAAAAAATAAACAACTTCCTTATAGGTTTGTAGCACAAGTGTAGGAGTACGATTAAAAAATATTAATAATTTATTTTACAAAAAGTGAAAAAGGCATAAAAGACACCCCAACTCCAGTTTACGCACATGGAACCATGCTACTAAACCGACAAATACTACATTCAAACCAACAAATACTTTGTATACATTCATCTATGAGTCGTATATAAACCCCGAGCTGTATGAGGAAATAGTTTAATATTAATTTCCAAACCTCTTTATTTGGTCAATCACGTAGTTTGCCAACTTTTTTTTTGTTTTCCATTAATTTGTTTGTATTGAAAACTGATCATAATAATATTTACATAGTTTATTTAATTTTTACGAATATTAAAATAAATTTTGTTGTATTTATTTGTCACTTGGAATTATTAATTAACTTATATATGCAATTTGTTAGTGTTTTTTTCCCCACAATTCCAAAATTTAAAACATTTTTATAGTAAATTTTATTTATATACATTATAAAAGATATAATCCCAAAAAAAAAAAAAAAAGACTACAAAAAAATTCGCAATAAACTATTTTACAATATTTAAATCGGAAATACCACTACAGTGAATTATAATTTAAATTGTTGTAAACAAATATCGGCCTAAATTTAACCAGCATTATGTTAAATTGTTTGTCATCATCATCATCATCGTCATCGACAACAAATACTTTTTTGAAAACCTGTCTCTCGGTCATCTGTTTGTTTTTACTCTTAATGGATAGTGCTTATGCTGTTGGCTTTGGTCGTTGTCCCAAATATCCTTCAATGCCTAAATTTAATATGAGCAGGGTAAGTAACAATAGAAATAACGAAAAAACAACTATTGAAAATTTCCTCTGAAAAAAATAAATTTTTTCTAAAAGTGAACTAAAACTGAAAAGAAAGTGGTTTGGGATTGAAGAGGAACTGAATTAGATCTGAACTAGAACTAAACTAGAACTAAACTAAACTCAACTAGAACTGAACTAGAACTAAACTAAAACTGAACTAGAACTGATCTAGAACTGAACTAGAACTGAACTAGAACTGAACTAGAACTGAACTAGAACTGAACTAGAACTGAACTAGAACTGAACTGAAACTGAACTAGAAGAACTAGAACTCAACTAGAACTGAACTAGAACTAAACTAACTAGAACTAAACTAGAATCAACTGAACTGAACTGAACTAAACTAAAACTGAACTAGAACTGACTAGAACTGAACTAGAACTGAACTAGAACTGAACTAGAACTGAACTAGAAACTGAACTAGAGAACTAGAACAACTAGAACTGAACTAGAACTGAACTAGAACTGAACTAGAACTGAACTAGAACTGAACTAGAACTGAACTAGAACTGAACTAGAACTGAACTAGAACTGAACTAGAACTGAACTAGAACTGAACTAGAACTGAACTAGAACTGAACTAGAACTGAACTAGAACTGAACTAGAACTGAACTAGAACTGAACTAGAACTGAACTAGAACTGAACTAGAACTGAACTAGAACTGAACTAGAACTGAACTAGAACTGAACTAGAACTGAACTAGAACTGAACTAGAACTGAACTAGAACTGAACTAGAACTGAACTAGAACTGAACTAGAACTGAACTAGAACTGAACTAGAACTGAACTAGAACTGAACTAGAACTGAACTAGAACTGAACTAGAACTGAACTAGAACTGAACTAGAAATGAACTGAACTAGAACGAACTAACGAAACAACTGAACTAGAACTGAACTAGAACTGAACTAGAACTGAACTAGAACTGAACTAGAACTGAACTAGAACTGAACTAGAAACTGAACTAGAACTGAACTAGAAACTGAACTAGAACTGAACTAGAACTGAACTAGAACTGAACTAGAACTGAACTAGAACTGAACTAGAACTGAACTAGAACTGAACTAGAACTGAACTAGAACTGAACTAGAACTGAATACTAGAACTGAACTAGAACTGAACTAGACTGAACTAGAACTGAACTAGAACTGAACTAGAACTGAACTAGAACTGAACTAGAACTGAACTAGAACTGAACTAGAACTGAACTAGAACTGAACTAGAACTGACTAGAACTGAACTAGAACTGAACTAGAACTGAACTAGAACTGAACTAGAACTGAACTAGAACTGAACTAGAACTGAACTATAACTGAACTAGAACTGAACTATGAACTGACTAGAACTGAACTAGACTGAACTAGAACTGAACTAGAACTGAACTAGAACTGAACTAGAACTGAACTAGAACTGAACTAGAACTGAAACTAGAACTGAACTAGAACTGAACTAGAACTGAACTAGAACTGAACTAGAACTGAACTAGAACTACTGAACTAGAACTGAACTAGAACTGAACTAGAACTGAACTAGAACTGAAACTAGAACTGAACTAGAACTGAACTAGAACTGAACCTAGAACTGAACTAGAACTGAACTAGAACTGAACTAGAACTGAACTAGATCCTGAACTAGAAACTGAACTAGAAACTGAACTAGAACTGAACTAGAACTGAACTAGAACTGAACTAGAACTGAACTAGAACTGAACTAGAACTGAACTAGAAGAACTAGAACTGAACTAGAAACTGAACTAGAATGAACTAGAACTGAACTAGAACTGAACTAGAACTGAACTAGAACTGAACTAGAACTGAACTAGAACTGAACTAGAACTGAACTAGAACTGAACTAGAACTTAACTAGAACTGAACTAGAACTGAACTAGACCTGAACTAGAACATGAACTAGAATGAAATAGAACTGAACAGAACTGAACTAGAACTGAACTAGAACTGACTAGAACTGAACTAGAACTGAACTAGAACTGAACTAGAACTGAACTAGAACTGAACTAGAACTGAACTAGAACTGAACTAGAACTGAACTAGAACTGAACTAGAACTGAACTAGAACGAACTAGAACTGAACTAGAACGACTAGAACTGAACTAGAACTGAACTAGAACTGAACTAGAACTGAACTAGAACTGAACTAGAACTGAACTAGAACTGAACTAGAACTGAACTAGAACTGAACTAGAACTGAACTAGAACTGAACTAGAACTGAACTAGAACTGAACTAGAACTGACACTAGAACTGGAATTCGAACTGAACTAGAACCTGAACTAGAACTGAACTAGAACTGCACTAGAACTGAACTAGAACTGAACTCGAACTGAACTAGAACTGAACTAGCACTAGAACTTTAAAAATAAATTTTATTAAAAAGGAAGATTTATAGAAAATTTCCTAAAAAATTTAATTCATCCAAAATTTTCCTTAAACAAAAGGTTTTGAAAAATTTAATTTATCTTTGCCTCTTGATTTTAAAAATTGTTTAATAATAACTACTAAAACTAAGAAGGTCTATTCAAACAGAAATCATTAATTTAAGAAAACATACCGAAACTAAGAGCATTGACCCTTATAGGTTTTTTAGACATTAATTGTATATTCTTCTTCTTATTCTTTCAAAAAGTCATGCTTAATCTTTAAAATGCATTTTAATGTTTTATTTTAATGTTTATTTTCATTAATGATAAATTTATCTGTTTTATAAACAGCAGCTGCTAAATATCTATGCCCAGTAAACAATTAAGCATGAATAATAGTCAAGGACCAGATATTCGTAAAAAAAAAATAATAATTATTAAATAAAAAAAAAAAAAAAAAATAAAATACAAAAACACATGTTGTGCTGCTTCTAAAATAAGTTTATAAAGATCATTTAATAAACTGGTTTAAAAAATCTGTTTTATTATTATTTTATGTGTCTGTTTTTATTTAATTTTCTGTTAAACTTTGTTCTCAATTGAATTTTCACTTTCTCAGAATTGGATTTAAAATGTGAATGCATTAAAAATTGTGTTCCCATTTGATAAATAAGTTGTAATGCTAGCGAGAATACCCTACATAAGGTGTTGTTTTATTGATTAAACTATGGACTGTGTATAAAGAATCTATAGACTTATGTATCTATCTATTATCTATTGTCTAGTATACATATGTATATGTATACTCGTATATTGAATAACGTATGTACTAATCTATTAACTAACAAGTCTCATGACTAGTCCACTAGTTATTCACTAGTTTATTGGCTAGTCTATTGAATTAACTAGCCTATTGATTTATCTATTAACTAGTCTAGGAACTTTTGTAGACTTTTGACTACTGTAGTAGTGATAGTCTATCGACTAGTCGATTGGCTAGTTCTACTGACTAGTATATTGATCAGTTTTTTGACCAGGATACTTATTATTTTATTGACTAGTTAATGGTCCAGTCTATTAACTGAGCTGTTGACTAGCATACTGACTAGTCTATTGATTAGTCTTTTGACTAGGATACTTATTACTCTATTGCATAGTTAATGGTCCAGTCTATTAACTGGGCAATTGATTACTCCATTGACTAGTTTATTGACTAGTTAGTTAGTTAGTTAGTTAGTTAGTTAGTAGTTAGTTAGTTAGTTACTTAGTTAGTTAGTAGTTACTTAGTTAGTTAGTTAGTTAGTTAGTTAGTTAGTTAGTAGTTAGTTAGTTAGTTAGTAGTTAGTTAGTTAGTAGTTAGTTAGTTAGTTAGTTAGGGTTAGTTAGTTAGTTAGTAGTTAGTTAGTTAGTTAGTTAGTTAGTTAGTTAGTTAGTTAGTAGTTAGTTAGTTAGTTAGTTAGTTAGTTAGTTAGTTAGTTAGTAGTTAGTTAGTTAGTTAGTTAGTAGTAGTTAGTTAGTTAGTTAGTAGTTAGTTAGTTAGTTAGTTAGTTAGTTAGTTAGTAGTTAGTTAGTTAGTTAGTAGTTAGTAGTTAGTTAGTTAGTTAGTTAGTTAGTTAGTTAGTTAGTTAGTTAGTAGTTAGTTAGTTAGTTAGTTAGTTAGTTAGTTAGTTAGTTAGTTAGTTAGTTAGTTAGTTAGTTTAGTTAGTTAGTTAGTTAGTTAGTTAGTTAGTTAGTTAGTTAGTTAGTTAGTTAGTTAGTAGTTAGTTAGTTAGTTAGTAGTTAGTTAGTTAGTTAGTTAGTTAGTTAGTTAGTTAGTTAGTTAGTTAGTTAGTTAGTTAGTTAGTTAGTAGTTAGTTAGTTAGTTAGTTAGTTAGTTAGTTAGTTAGTTAGTAGTTAGTTAGTTAGTTAGTTAGTAGTTAGTAGTTAGTTAGTTAGTTAGTTAGTTAGTTAGTTAGTTAGTTAGTTAGTTAGTTAGTTAGTTAGTTAGTTAGTTAGTAGTTAGTTAGTTAGTTAGTTAGTTAGTTAGTTAGTTAGTTAGTTAGTTAGTTAGTTAGTTAGTTAGTTAGTTAGTTAGTTAGTTAGTTAGTTAGTTAGTTAGTTAGTTAGTTAGTTAGTTAGTTAGTTAGTTAGTTAGTTAGTTAGTTAGTTAGTTAGTTAGTTAGTTAGTTAGTTAGTTAGTTAGTTAGTTAGTTAGTTAGTTAGTTAGTAGTTAGTTAGTTAGTTAGTTAGTTAGTTAGTTAGTTAGTTAGTTAGTTAGTTAGTTAGTAGTTAGTTAGTTAGTTAGTTAGTTAGTTAGTTAGTTAGTTAGTTAGTTAGTTAGTTAGTTAGTTAGTTAGTTAGTTAGTTAGTTAGTTAGTTAGTTAGTTAGTAGTTAGTTAGTTAGTTAGTTAGTTAGTTAGTTAGTTAGTTAGTTAGTTAGTTAGTTAGTTAGTTAGTTAGTTAGTTAGTTAGTTAGTTAGTTAGTTAGTTAGTTAGTTAGTTAGTTAGTTAGTTAGTTGTTAGTTAGTTAGTTAGTTAGTTAGTTAGTTAGTTAGTTAGTTAGTTAGTTAGTTAGTTAGTTAGTTAGTAGTTAGTTAGTTAGTTAGTTAGTTAGTTAGTTAGTTAGTTAGTTAGTTAGTTAGTTAGTTAGTTAGTAGTTAGTTAGTTAGTTAGTTAGTTAGTTAGTTAGTTAGTTAGTTAGTTAGTTAGTTAGTTAGTTAGTTAGTTAGTTAGTTAGTTAGTTAGTTAGTTAGTTAGTTAGTTAGTTAGTTAGTAGTTAGTTAGTTAGTTAGTTAGTTAGTTAGTTAGTTAGTTTAGTTAGTTAGTTAGTTAGTTAGTAGTTAGTTAGTTAGTTAGTTAGTTAGTTAGTTAGTTAGTTAGTTAGTTTAGTTAGTTAGTTAGTAGTTAGTTAGTAGTTAGTTAGTTAGTTAGTTAGTTAGTTAGTTAGTTAGTTAGTTAGTTAGTTAGTTAGTAGTTAGTTAGTTAGTTAGTTAGTTAGTTAGTAGTTAGTTAGTTAGTTAGTTAGTTAGTAGTTAGTTAGTTAGTAGTTAGTTAGTAGTTAGTTAGTTAGTTAGTTAGTTAGTTAGTTAGTTAGTTAGTTAGTTAGTTAGTTAGTTAGTTAGTTAGTTAGTTAGTTAGTTAGTAGTTAGTTAGTTAGTTAGTTAGTTAGTTAGTTAGTAGTTAGTTAGTAGTTAGTTAGTTAGTTAGTTAGTTAGTTAGTTAGTTAGTTAGTTAGTTAGTTAGTTAGTTAGTTAGTTAGTTAGTTAGTAGTAGTTAGTTAGTAGTTAGTTAGTTAGTTAGTTAGTTAGTTAGTTAGTTAGTAGTTAGTTAGTTAGTTAGTTAGTTAGTTAGTTAGTTAGTTAGTTAGTTAGTTAGTTAGTTAGTTAGTTAGTTAGTTAGTTAGTAGTTAGTTAGTTAGTTAGTAGTTAGTTAGTTAGTTAGTTAGTTAGTTAGTTAGTAGTTAGTTAGTTAGTTAGTAGTTAGTTAGTTAGTTAGTTAGTTAGTTAGTTAGTTAGTAGTTAGTTAGTTAGTTAGTTAGTTAGTTAGTTAGTAGTTAGTTAGTTAGTTAGTTAGTTAGTTAGTTAGTTAGTTAGTTAGTTAGTTAGTTAGTTAGTTAGTAGTTAGTAGTTAGTTAGTTAGTTAGTTAGTTAGTTAGTTAGTAGTTAGTTAGTTAGTTAGTTAGTTAGTTAGTTAGTTAGTAGTTAGTTAGTTAGTTAGTTAGTTAGTTAGTTAGTTAGTTAGTTAGTTAGTTAGTTAGTTAGTTAGTTAGTAGTTAGTTAGTTAGTTAGTTAGTAGTTAGTTAGTTAGTTAGTTAGTTAGTTAGTTAGTTAGTTAGTTAGTTAGTTAGTTAGTTAGTTAGTTAGTTAGTTAGTTAGTTAGTAGTTAGTTAGTTAGTAGTTAGTTAGTTAGTAGTAGTTAGTTAGTTAGTTAGTTAGTTAGTTAGTTAGTTAGTTAGTAGTTAGTTAGTTAGTTAGTAGTTAGTTAGTTAGTTAGTTAGTTATGTTAGTTAGTTAGTTAGTTAGTAGTTAGTTAGTTAGTTAGTTAGTTAGTTAGTTAGTTAGTTAGTTAGTTAGTTAGTTAGTTAGTAGTTAGTTAGTTAGTTAGTAGTTAGTTAGTTAGTTAGTTAGTTAGTTAGTTAGTAGTTAGTTAGTTAGTAGTTAGTTAGTTAGTTAGTTAGTTAGTTAGTTAGTTAGTTAGTTAGTTAGTTAGTTAGTTAGTTAGTTAGTTAGTTAGTTAGTTAGTTAGTTAGTTAGTTAGTTAGTTAGTTAGTTAGTTAGTTAGTTAGTTAGTTAGTTAGTAGTTAGTTATACATATAAAGAAAAGTTAACGAACATTTTATTCTTCAAATGTGTAGGGTATTCTAAGAATTCCTAGTTGCTTATCAATTAACTAACTTGATATTGTTATTTTCGATTAAAACTGTAGCGAACAAAGTCAAAAAGTCGTTTAATATTATGATCATATTAAGTAGTCGTTAAATATATAAACTCGCATTCCAGTACATTTCTATAAAAATTGTATTTACAATTCTGAACTAATTCAATTTAGTCCCATTTATGGCATTAAGCCTGCAGATATGTTTATTTACTAATACATATAACTACAGGGTCCATAAAGCTAAAATAATCTGCATAAATTATGTGCGTGTCTCAAAAGGCGGATCTATGCATTGAATTCAATTTACTGAGATAAAAATTGACAAGACAATTAAGATATAACAAAGAGAAACATAAAAGGGAAAGAAAAGAAGATTAGTTTAAAATTTAAATAAATAGTTTCAAATGTATACATATTTGTAGGTTAGTATCCAAAGTTCTTTAACCCTCTGAGAACTTTTATTAAGTATACTCACATTAAAGTTAATTAAAATAAACTTGATTATTAATTTCAGTTTATTATTTCTTTTAAGTATTTATGCTACGACAGTTTTATTAATGACTTTGAACTATATTTATTGATTTCATTATTTTTATTCATTCATTCAATTTTGTTTAATCGTTATCGTTTTTTTATAAAATTGAAACTGGTTTCTTCTAATAACAAATATTTGTTTTCAACTGTGCATAAATTCAAAATAATTAAAATATTTTTACCGGCATTTTTTGTGATTTTTTTTTTTTATATTCGAATGTATTTACTTGACCTTAAACTACACCTTTCTATAGTGAGTGGTCTAACAATTAAAAATTCAATTATTTTAATGCAAAATAGTTTTTTGTGTATTTAGTATAAAACGTTATAATTTTGTACTAATAACCTGCATTTTTATCAAAATATATATTTTAGTACATATTTCTCTTTGGCAACTACTTAATTGAGTTAACTATATGTTACCAATGCATTACTTAGTAATAAGTGAAGTTGGCAAGTCTGTAGTGGTCTATTAACTAGCTTTCGGACTAGGTAATGGACTAGTCTATAAACTATATTGACTTATCTATGCTCCAGTTATTGGTTTATCTACTTTTTAGTCTATGAACGAATCTTCGAATTGGTTTTTTTGCATAGTCTATGGACTCGTTTCCTGACTAGTCTGTTGGACTAAAATTTAGTAATACATTGGCTAATCTTTGGACTAGTCTTTTCAATATTCTACGGACTTTGAAGTATTTAGTCTATGATTAGTCTATGATCTAATCAATGGATTATTCCTATTGACTAGACAATTGACTATCCTATTGGTAAGTCTGTTGACTAGTCTATTACCTAGTCCACGGACTATGGACTAATCTCTGGACTAGTCTGTTGACTATTCTATGTACTAGTCTGTTGACTATTCTATGGACTAGTCTGTTGACTATTCTATGTACTAGTCTGTTGACTTTTGAATAGTTTATGTCTATATACTGGTTTGTTGACTAGTTTATGGACAAGTCCGTTGGCTAGTCTATGGATTAGTCTGGTGGCTAGTCTATTACCTAGTCCATGGACTAGTCTATGGATTAGTCTATGAACAATTTTATGGAGTAATCTATGGACTAGTCTGTGGATTATTATATGGACTAGTATGTTGACTATTCTATGGACTGGTCTGTTAACTATTCTATGGACTAGTCTGTTGAATATTCTATGGATTAGTCTGTTGACTTTTGAATAGTTTATGGACCTAGTCTATATACTGGTTTGTGAATAAACTATGGACTAGTCTATTAACTATTCTATGGACTAGTCTGTTAAATATTCTATGGACTAGTCTGTTGACTATTCTATGGAATAGTCTGTTGACTTTTGAATAGTTTATAGACCTATGGACTAGTCTGTTGGCTGATCTATGGACTAGTCTGTTGGCTAGTCTATGGACTAGTCTGTTGGCTAGTCTATGGATAAGTCTGTTGGCTAGTCTATGAACTAGTCTGGTGGCTAGTCTATGGACTAGTCAGTTAGCTAGTCTATGTTGACTAGTCTGGTGGCTAGTCTATGGATTAGTCTGTTGAGTAGTCTATGAACTAGTCTAGTTAATTGACTACTTTATTGATTAGGCTAGCCTGGAATAGTCTAAGAACTATAGACTAGTTTATATACCAGGCTATTGACTAATCTACAAACTAATCTTTGAACTAAAGTTTTGAATAGTCTATGGTCCCCCTCCCACTAGTCTATTAACTAATTGGCAACGTTTTTAATACAAAAGGTTCAAAAAGTACAGTAGGACTGGAATCGTTAAAAACATACATGTGTTAGAACCAAAAATACAATTTATGACCTTCTAAAAGTGTTGCGAACTTTAGATCCGACACAAAATTCCCATGGAATAAAATTACTCCTAATTAATAAAGCTTTTCACCATTAAAAAAATGTCCTTTTAATAGAAATAAGGACCCACCACTTTAAGCAATAAAAGCCTACAATAGCTCTAAAGGACATAATTCTTTTATTATATTGGAAGGACATTTTATCATACAGGAATAAATTCTATAATAAAACTACCCCGTCGTTTTATAGTCACATTTTATAGATGTATGGAACTTATTTTAAAGTGTATAATATCGTTTAAAAGTCCTAAAGTTTGGGTTGTTATTAGTAATATATAATTAAAAAAAGTCCCAACATTTCGATTTGGTATTATTTATATATTTTAAGGGAATACTTTTACTTTATAGTGAAATAAAGATGGTGTTTTAGCAACCTAAAAATAAGAGTTGCTTTTTTGGATTTGGTATTATATTGACTTAGGAAATAATAGTATTTTTTAGCTATAAACATATATCATAATATTAGTGCCTTAAAATCGGACTTCTATTAGTAAAATACTAATAATTTTATATAAAAATGTTTCTCTTTACAGGTCTTGGGACAATGGTACGAAGTAGAGAGATCTTTCTATTTGCCCGAAATTGCCTCCGGTTGTACCACCTTAGAATTTCAGCCGTTACATCAAGAAGAACTGTCACGTTTCAATAATTTCAGATTAGAAGTGGCCATTAAAACCATCAACAGAATGTAAGTTCAATATTTAAATATATGTAAAAACCTTAAAAACTATATTAAACTTGTTATTACAGTACGGGAAATCCCACAGTGAACTTGGGTTATGCCACACCGGAAAGTCGAAAATCTTCCATAATGGATTTCAAGGTAAAATTTTACCTCTATAATAAATAAAAATCCATTAAACTAAAGTTAATTTTTTTTAAATTTACAGTTCAGCACACGTTTTCCCGATGTTATAGCCCGTTTACTGCCCGGTTCGGGAAAATATCAAGTACTCTACACAGACTATGATAATTTTGCCATTTTATGGTCTTGTGGTTCGTTGGGCTCTTTGGGTTATTCCGATCAGATATGGGTGTTTGGTCGGGAACGTGATTTTAATGTAGAGGTGCGTACAAAGATCTATGATGCACTAAAGAAATTGGGTTTGGAACCGGATCGTTTGGTTTTAAGTAAAAATAGAAATTGTCCCAAAACTTTGTAAGGACGAACCGTCTTAAGATGTTTTCGAAGATGATTTGTGTAATATTTTATTATTTTGTAAACGTGTGTATTATTAAGATTTATATGTATTTGTACAGATATTATTTGTTTATATTATAATATAATATAGAATATATATAGAATAGGTTTCTGTGATACTCCTCCTCAGACAATAAAAAAAGAAGGATGATTTTAAAAATTAAACAAATGATTTTGTAAAATTATTTTGATGGGGAATTTTAAAAAACAGGAACTTTAAAAGTTTTAAAATTCGAAAATTTTGGAACTAATGAATGGTTTGTTTGCGCTTGAGGAGTTCTTGACTGCCTTCGTGTTAAATAAAAACTGTAAGACTCACAAATGTTCTAAACTTTTTCAAAAAAAGTTTTATTCAACCTAATTATTAATTCATTAACTTTGATTGAGTTATTAAATCACATTTAAAATAACTTTTTAACACCAAACTTTTAACCACCAATAAATCCCCTATAAATACTCCAAAACAAAACAAAATTTCAATTGTTTTTTCTTACAAGTACACCCTTAACAATGTCCCAGGACATAAAGTTAAAACAGAAAAAGTTTTTCAATATACCAAAGAAAACATTTGCTGTTGTTGGTATTGATCCTTTGGCGGATAAGAAGGAGCGCATTATTAAAAATCCCATTATCTGCTGTGGCTACTATGTATTGACCTTCATCTTCGTCTTGGCTTGTATTGATTTTAGTGTTAAGAATTTGGATAATATGAATGAATATACTACAATATCGGTTCTAAATCAATTGATTATAGTTTTATGGAAAATTGCCGTATTTTGGATAAAACGTCAGAGGATTTGTAAATTAATCAAGGACATTTGGCAGTGGAATGAAAATGGTGAGACAAGGATCTTGAATTTATATCTCTTCTAATACAGAATTTCACTTTGATCGAAAGATGTATTATTTCGGTTTTTGACTGTTTTAAAAAAAGTAAAATCGCAATTTTCTAAATAGATCAAGGTTCTTGGACCGTAAATCTTCGCGAGAAGGGTATTTTTTTGTTATCAAATTAACTAACTAACTAACTAACTAACTAACTAACTAACTAACTAACTAACTACTAACTAACTAACTAACTAACTACTAACTAACTAACTACTAACTAACTAACTAACTAACTAACTAACTAACTAACTAACTAACTAACTAACTAACTAACTAACTAACTAACTAACTAACTAACTAACTAACTAACTAACTAACTAACGAACTAACTAACTACTAACTAACTAACTAACTAACTAACTAACTAACTAACTAACTAACTACTAACTAACTAACTAACTAACTAACTACTAACTAACTAACTAACTAACTAACTAACTAACTAACTACTACTAAGTACTACTAACTAACTAACTACTAACTAACTAACTAACTAACTCACTAACTAACTATACTAACTAACTAACTAACTAACTAACTAACTAACTAACTAACTAACTAACTAACTAACTAACTAACTACTAACTAACTAACTAACTAACTAACTAACTAACTAACTAACTACTAACTACTAACTAACTAACTAACTAACTACTAACTAACTAACTAACTAACTAACTAACTAACTAACTAACTAACTAACTAACTAACTAACTAACTAACTAACTAACTAACTAACTACTAACTAACTAACTAACTAACTAACTACTAACTAACTAACTAACTAACTAACTAACTAACTAACTAACTAACTAACTAACTAACTAACTAACTAACTAACTAACTAACTAACTAACTAACTAACTAACTAACTAACTAACTAACTAACTAACTAACTAACTAACTAACTAACTAACTAACTAACTAACTAACTAACTAACTAACTAACTAACTAACTAACTAACTAACTAACTAACTAACTAACTAACTAACTAACTAACTAACTAACTAACTAACTAACTAACTAACTAACTACTAACTAACTAACTAACTAACTAACTAACTAACTAACTAACTAACTAACTAACTACTAACTAACTAACTAACTAACTAACTACGAACTAACTAACTAACTAACTAACTAACTAACTAACTAACTAACTAACTAACTAACTAACTAACTAACTAACTAACTAACTAACTAACTAACTAACTAACTAACTAACTACTAACTAACTAACTAACTAACTAACTAACTAACTAACTAACTAACTAACTACTACTAACTAACTAACTAACTAACTAACTAACTAACTAACTAACTAACTAACTAACTAACTAACTAACTAACTAACTAACTAACTAACTAACTAACTAACTAACTAACTAACTAACTAACTAACTAACTAACTACTAACTACCTAACTAACTAACTAACTAACTAACTACTAACTAACTAACTAACTAACTAACTAACTAACTAACTAACTAACTACTACTAACTAACTAACTAACTAACTAAGGCGTCTTTATATGAGGACCAGGACCAAGTGAGGACCGATCATTACAAACGGGAGCTAGTTGAAATAATGGACTGATCTTAACCAATTTCAATAGGCTTCGTTCCTGGGATAATGGAAGATCGTGTGTCTAATTTGATTGAATTATCTTCAAAATTGTGACCTGCGGTTTAAGAGGACAGACGGACGGACATAGCTACAATAATCAACTCTGAGCCGATTGGTATACTTTACGGTGGGTGTAGGACCAATATTATTGTGCGTTACAAACATCAGCACAAACCCAATATACCCTCCCCACTAAAATGGTGTAGGGTATAACAATTCAAAATATAACAATAACAAAATCCTTGGAACTTGAGTGATAAGTCCAAACAGTTAAATAAAAATCAACCGCAATAATATTTACTGATATTGTACCTTTTCGAAATTCCGAAAATTTAATTTACCTTTATTGCAGTAAATGCCGAAGAATTTCGCATAATAGAGAAAATAGGCACTAAAACCGCTATGATTAGTAAATGGTATTATTTAGCAGTGGGAGCTGCTGGTCTCATTAGTTTATTAAGTCCTCTGATAACAAAACTTATAAGACTTTTGCAAGGAGTAGAGGGAGATATGGAATTACCACATCAAGCCACGTATGTTAAAACTTATCTAGATGATAACAAAAATCCAATATTTTCCTATATCTCACAGCTACTTGTGGAACATCTCTACACCGTGGGGCTACATTATAGCTTTTCTGTGGGATTATATAATTGTAAATTTTCTATTTAATGCTTCGGTGGCCATTGATACACTATTCATATGGCTGGCGTCCAATATAATCGTGCGTTTTGGCATCTTAAAGGAACGTTTTAAAAGGGCGGCCCAACAAGATGTACAAACTATAACGAGTGTTATTATTATAGAGAATATAAAGTTTCATTCTTCTATCTTGGACATGGCTCAAGAGTTGGATGCAATATTTGGTGAAATTATTTTCGTCAAGTCTATAGTTAGTTGTACACAAATTTGCTTTTTGGTTTTTCGTTTTATGGGTAAAGATAATTCCTTGATTACTATCAGCTACAATTTTGTATTTTTGATAGCAGTGGCTATGCAATTATTTTTATACTGCTACAGTGGTGAATTGATAAAAGAAGAGGTGAGTTTAAGGGAGATTCAGAAACTTCTTTATATACACTTTTTTATATATCTAGAGCCTTAACGTGTCCATTAATGTTTACGAATCCTTTACTTGGTGTAAGTTAACATTGGAATGTCAGAAAATGCTACAAATGATAATGTTACGTTCCCAGAGATGTGCTAATATACAGGGATTATTTTTCAATCTAAACTTGAGTTTATATTTATGGGTGAGTATTATTTGTAAATATTTTATAGTTCTACTCTAATTAATGCCCTTATTACAGTTTTTTAAAACTGCCGGTTCTTTGATAGCTGTGCTTCAGACCATAGAAGACGTTTGAGGACCTCACCCTATACACCAATTGTTACTACCGATCAAAGTTTTTGATATTATATAATGAATTTCAAAATATATAGTTTTGTTTTTGATTTTGTATAAAAATTTGCTTATTTCTTAATAAATTGGCGGATTAAGACCTAGTATAGACCGATCGATCAAAAAAAAAAAAAAAATACAGTATGTAAATAATTGGGTCTTAGATTTATGTTTATCTCTTGGTGTTACATATGGAATGACAAACTTATATGTATACCCTCCACACCATCAGTGATGATAAAGGGTAAAGGGGTTTTTATTTTGTTTCTAGGGTTGCGAAGCACACAGGGTTTAGCACTCACCTTATTTAAAACTACCTTTTTTTCTTGTTTCCTTTCTGCAAACAACTTCAGTTATTTTATTTTTTCACAACATTTTTCTTTATATTTTTTCTTTTCTTATTTACAGATTTTTTATTCGCTTTTATTATTTATTTTCTCATTATTTTAGTTTTTTTTCTTTAAAAGATCAACATTTTATTTCCTTCGCTACATTTCATTCATTCATTTCCTTTACTCATACACTTATAAAACCTTTTTTCCTCTTCTTTGCTTCACACAAAACTTTATCACTTCCCCCTATACCAATTGTTGCACTTAACACACATTCCACGCACATTCATACTAACATATTTATTAACAACAAGTGGCCAAACTAAAGCAACACATGGACCGGCACAACATTTCATATTTTTCCAAACAATGTGCCCACGCTATTTTCTCTAATTTACAAGTTATTTTTTAACAATATTTTTACACACAACGATTAACAAACATTTAAATTTTATATTTATGCAAAAATATTAACAATTTATTAACTTTTAACCCGATTTATTAATTAACTAAACGACCACTAATCACCAAACAACCGAACACTTGCAAAATTTCTAGAAAACTAAAAGAGAAAAATGCAAGTAATGATTCTGTTGCTATTGTTGTTGTTGTTACTGCTACTGTCATTTGATTTGTACTAAATTGTATGCAGGTGTTTGTTGTAATTTGATTGTGTTGGGTGGTGGGGTAGAATATTTTAGAGTGCGTAAATAGATTAGGAGAGTTTTTAGTTATGGTCAAACTCGATCTTTTATTGCAAAAAGTCGATGTCGACTTTTTTGTCCTAACGAAGTCGAAAAGTCGACAAACTATCGAAACAAGTCGACGAGTCGAAAAAAAGTCGACCTTCTTTACGTAAGACTAGACTATAGACTAGACTATAGACTAGACTATAGACTAGACTATAGACTAGACTATAGACTAGACTATAGACTAGACTATAGACTAGACTATAGACTAGACTATAGACTAGACTATAGACTAGACTATAGACTAGACTATAGACTAGACTATAGACTAGACTATAGACTAGACTATAGACTAGACTATAGACTAGACTATAGACTAGACTATAGACTAGACCATAGACTAGACTATAGACTAGACTATAGACTAGACTACAGTCTATAGACTAGACTAGACTAGACTACTATAGACTAGACTATAGACTAGACTATAGACTAGACTATAGACTAGACTATAGACTAGACTATAGACTAGACTATAGACTAGACTATAGACTAGACTATAGACTAGACTATAGACTAGACTATAGACTAGACTATAGACTAGACTATAGACTAGACTATAGACTAGACTATAGACTAGACTATAGACTAGACTATAGACCTAGACTATAGACTAGACTATAGACTAGACTATAGACAGACTATAGACTAGACTATAGACTAGACTATAGACTAGACTATAGACTAGACTAGACTAGACTATAGACTAGACTATAGACTAGACTATAGACTATAGACTATAGACTAGACTATAGACTAGACTATAGACTATAGACTAGACTATAGACTAGACTATAGACTAGACTATAGACTAACTATAGACTAGACTATAGACCTAGACTATAGACTAGACTATAGACTAGACTATAGACTAGACTATAGACTAGACTATAGACTAGACTATAGACTAGACTATAGACTAGACTATAGACTAAGACTAGACTATAGACTAGACTATAGACTAGACTATAGACTAGACTATAGACTAGACTATAGACTATAGACTAGACTATAGACTAGACTATAGACTAGACTATAGACTATAGACTAGACTATAGACTAGACTATAGACTATAGACTAGACTATAGACCAGACTATAGACTAGACTATAGACTAGACTATAGACTAGACTATAGACTAGACTATAGACTAGACTATAGACTAGACTATAGGCTAGACTATAGACTAGACTATAGACTAGACTATAGACTAGACTATAGACTAGACTATAGACTAGACTATAGACTAGACTATAGACTAGACTATAGACTAGACTATAGACTAGACTATAGACTAGACTATAGACTAGACTATAGACTAGACTATAGACTAGACTATAGACTAGACTATAGACTAGACTATAGACTAGACTATAGACTAGACTATAGACTAGACTATAGACTAGACTATAGACTAGACTATAGACTAGACTATAGACTAGACTATAGACTAGACTATAGACTAGACTAGACTATAGACTAGACTATAGACTAGACTATAGACTAGACTATAGACTAGACTATAGACAGACTATAGACTAGACTTAGACTAGACTATAGACTAGACTATAGACTAGACTATAGACTAGACATAGACTAGACTATAGACTAGACTATAGACTAGACTATAGACTAGACTATAGACTAGACTTAGACTAGACTATAGACTAGACTATAGACTAGACTATAGACTAGACTATAGACTAGACTATAGACTAGACTATAGACTAGACTATAGACTAGACTATAGACTAGACTATAGACTAGACTATAGACTAGACTATAGACTAGACTATAGACTAGACTATAGACTAGACTATAGACTAGACTATAGACTAGACTATAGACTAGACTATAGACTAGACTATAGACTAGACTATAGACTAGACTATAGACTAGACTATAGACTAGACTATAGACTAGACTATAGACTAGACTATAGACTAGACTATAGACTAGACTAGACTAGACTATAGACTAGACTATAGACTAGACTATAGACTAGACTATAGACTAGTCTATAGACTAGACATAGACTAGACTATAGACTAGACTATAGACTAGACATAAACTAGACTATAGACTAGACTGTAGACTAGACTATAGACTAGACTATAGACTAGACTATAGACTAGACTATAGACTAGACTATAGACTGGACTATAGACTAGACTATAGACTGGACTATAGACTAGACTATAGACTAGACTATAGACTAGACTATAGACTAGACTATAGACTAGACTATAGACTAGACTATAGACTAGACTATAGACTAGACTATAGACTAGACTATAGACTAGACTATAGACTAGACTATAGACTAGACTATAGACTAGACTATAGACTAGACTATAGACTAGACTATAGACTAGACTATAGACTAGACTATAGACTAGACTATAGACTAGACTATAGACTAGACTATAGACTAGTCTATAGACTAGACTATAGACTAGACTATAGACTAGACTATAGACTAGACTATAGACTAGACTATAGACTAGACTATAGACTAGACTATAGACTAGACTATAGACTAGACTATAGACTAGACTATAGACTAGACTATAGACTAGACTATAGACTAGACTATAGACTAGACAATAGACTAGACTATACACTATGGGGATACTGCGGTATTTTTTGTCATAAAGAAATTACTGAAGTATTGAATTTTCCATGCCTGATTTAGATCATATAAAAAATGTCAATTTAGTAAACACTTTCAGCGAATAAGAATTAACATTTCCTGCGCTGTATTGGTGTTTTATTTGTTTATGAAGAAAGTTCTTACAACTTGATTTTTCATCAATATTAATTATGTAATTTTATCATTTTCACTTTATTTCAAATTAACAAAGTCCCAACCCTGTCATAATTCCTTTATTATCATTATAACTTAATATTACCGATTTGACATTCACTAATAAATCTCCTTAACATCTTGCTCTTAATCCATTTACGCATACAATTTAGTACAAATCAAATAATGACAGCTGCAGCAGAAACAACAACAATAGCAGTAGAGAACATTACTTGCATTTTTCTTTTTTAGTTTTCTAGAAATTTCGCAAGTGTTCGGTTGTTTGGTGATTAGTGGTCGTTTAATTGTTTAATAAATCCGGTTAAAAGTTAATAAATTGTTAATATTTTGGCATAAATATTAAATTTAAATGTTTGTTAATCGTTGTGTGTAAAAATATTGTTAAAAAGTAACTTGTAAATTAGTAAAAATAGTGTTTGGAAAATGATAAAATGCATGTTGCTTTAGGTTGCACATTCGTTTGTTAAGAATTGTGTGTTGGTGTGTGGGTAGGGTAGTGCGTTAAGTTCATTGCTTAGTTGGTTGGTTGGAGAGTGGAAAAGAAGTGTTAAATAAGGTGAGTGGTTTTTTAAATTTATTTTTTTTTATGAGATATATTCCTGGAGGACTTTGCTTCCTCTTCTAAAACGTTACTTTGTTTTTAGCTGTCAAAGTTTTTTGATTTTATTCTATATAAATACTTTATATCTTAGAGCCTACTATTGTCTACGAATATTTTTGCTATATTTAACCGTTATAAACTACCCCTTACCTATTAATAACCAATTCCGCAATTGCTTATGTTACGTTCCCCACAAGGTTGTACCATAAAAGGGATATTTTTCAATTCGGATTAAAGTAATTTTTTATGGACCAATGGTAGGCATTAATTAAAGGAAATTATATTCTTTATTATAAATTTCTGTTATACATTATTTACTGTTATTGTAAAATTACTGCCTTTTTCGATAGCCTTGCCCTAGACCCTAAAATACAAAGTATACGAATCAATCTGTTCTCGATTGGTTCAACTACTGTACACTAGATGGCAGCAACAATACCAAAACTACAGAATAACTCATATAAAGAGAAAATATTGATTTCGTCATTAGATGGCGCCATAAAAAATGTACAGGGATGATGTCTTCAATAAATAGTTTGATTCAGATAAAAATTACTGTATAACGGAAATTAATTTCAAATATGTATTTCACCAGTTCGTAAAAATTGTATGTGAATACAAATGTTGTAGCCATCGCAGATTTATTAGCTTTTTATATCTTCCACCTTCGTGAGAAGGTATAAGTTTGTCATTCCGTTTGAAATTTCTATAATATAATTTTCCGACCCTATAAAGTGTGTATATATATTCTAGATTCATATAGATTGCGGAGTCGATTTAGCCATGTCCGTCTGTCTGTCTTTATGACTGTGTGTATGTTTAAATCAGTTTTGTAGCAGACCCCAGCTATCTGCGAGATCCGAATCTTCCATAATTCTTCAGACATACGATCGGGAAGAACGCTTTTTAAAATCAGCAAAATCGGTCTATAAATACACGAGATATGAGGAAAAATTTCGAGACTACCTCTGAAAATTTCATCAAAAATTTAGATTTTTTATTCATGCTCAGACATAAACTGTAAACAACAACAACAAAACACATAATCATACGGTAAATTTTTTTATTGTACTTGTTTATAAAAAAACAAAGCTGAGCATGACGTCACGTTACGAACGAAAAGTGGATTTTTTGGTACTTTTTCGTTCTTCAAAACGTACTTTTTGAAATTTCTATAATATTGAACCTAGAAACATAAAATTAAGCATGTAGCGCCCAGCTTAGGTGCGAACACATAAATGGGGATTTTTTGGTACTTTTTCGTTCTACAAAAGGTATTTTTTGAATTTTTTTGAACCTAGGAACATGAAATTAAGTATGTAGAGCCCGGATTAGGTGAGAACACATGAGTTTTTTATAATATTGAACCTAGAAACATGAAATTTAGCATGTAGGGCCCGGATTAGGTGAGAACCTATAAAAGGCGACTTTTTGATACTTTTTCGTTCTACATAAGATACTTTTTGAATTTTCTATAATATTTAACCTAGAAACATGAAATTGACTAGTCTATAGTCTAGTCTATAGTCTAGTCTATAGTCTATAGACTAGACTATAGACTAGACTATAGACTAGACTACAGACTAGACTATAGACTAGACTATAGACTAGACTATAGACTAGACTATAGACTAGACTATAGACTAGACTATAGACTAGACTATAGACTAGACTATAGACTAGATTATAGACTAGATTATAGACTAGATTATAGACTAGGCTATAGACTAGACTATAGACTAGACTATAGACTAGACTATAGACTAGACTATAGACTAGACTATAGACTAGACTATAGTCTAGTCTATAGTCTAGCCTATAGTCTAGCCTATAGTCTAGTCTATAGTCTAGTCTATAGTCTAGTCTATAGTCTAGTCTATAGTCTAGTCTATAGTCTAGTCTATAGTCTAGTCTATAGTCTAGTCTATAGTCTAGTCTATAGTCTAGTCTATAGTCTAGTCTATAGTCTAGTCTATAGTCTAGTCTATAGTCTAGTCTATAGTCTAGTCTATAGTCTAGTCTATAATCTAGTCTATAGTCTAGTCTATAGTCTAGTCTATAGTCTAGTCTATAGTCTAGTCTATAGTCTAGCCTATAGTCTAGCCTATAATCTAGCCTATAGTCTAGCCTATAATCTAGTCTATAGTCTAGTCTATAGTCTAGTCTATAGTCTAGTCTATAGTCTAGTCTATAGTCTAGTCTATAGTCTAGTCTATAGCCTAGTCTATAGTCTAGTCTATAGTCTAGTCTATAGTCTAGTCTATAATCTAGTCTATAATCTAGTCTATAGTCTAGTCTATAGTCTAGTCTATAGTCTAGTCTATAGTCTAGTCTATAGTCTAGCCTATAGTCTAGCCTATAATCTAGTCTATAGTCTAGTCTATAGTCTAGCCTATAGTCTAGCCTATAATCTAGTCTATAGTCTAGTCTATAGTCTAGTCTATAGTCTAGCCTATAGTCTAGTCTATAGCCTAGTCTATAATCTAGTCTATAATCTAGTCTATAGTCTAGTCTATAGTCTAGTCTAGTCTAGTCTATAGTCTAGTCTATAGTCTAGTCTATAGTCTAGTCTATAGTCTAGTCTATAGTCTAGTCTGTAGTCTAGTCTATAGTCTAGTCTATAGTCTAGTCTATAGTCTAGTCTATAGTCTAGCCTATATTCTAGTCTATAGTCTAGTCTATAGTCTAGTCTATAGTCTAGTCTATAATCTAGTCGATAGTCTAGTCTATAGTCTATAGTATAGTCTATAGTCTAGTCTATAGTCTATAGTCTAGTCTATAGTCTAGTCGTTATTCTAGTATTTAGCCTAGTCTTTAGTCTAGTTTATAGTGTAATCTATAGTCTGTCTGTACAACTACTTACCAGAAAAATATATTTTCTTTTAAAATTGTTCCATTTATTAAAATTATCTTACAAAAGTTCCATTTAAAATAAATAATTGTTTATTATTAATAATTGTATAATAATTATTTATGATTTTGTTTTAATAATGTCTTAGCAAATATTTTGTTGTTGTAGATTGTTTTACAAAAATTAATAAAAATGAAAACACATAATAAAATCATAAAAATCAACTACAATTATTTCTTAAATATTAGTAATAATTTGTGGCAATTTTTTGTTATAATATTATTATAATAATTTTTGAACTGGTTTTGTTTTTATTTTGGTTTTTTTGATTTAAATTTTTTGGGAAAAGTGTTTTTTTTTTTTGCTATGTATACAAAAAAATATGAGATTAAAGAGATTCTAGTTAAATAACACATCTAGATACAAACTACTTAAGACAAATCTATTTAATAGAAATTTAAAAAAAAACATTTTAAAACCAAATAGAGAAAAGATAACATAATATTCTATATATAAACTTTATATTCATGTATATTTATTATTTACTAGTTATATAATATTTTGATTATAATTTATGTAAAAATTTTCCAATTTTCTTTTAAATTTTTTGGCATAATTTTTTTGATTATTATTTTTTTTTAATTGTTTAGATATGCGTTTTAACTTATTTTCTTGTAATATTTTATTTATTTAGTTTGGAAATAATAAAAAACAAAATTACATTATATTTTCTTTTTATTATTATGTAAAAAACACATTTAAATAAAATCATACAATAACAAAATATTTTCTTTTTTAAATTTTTAATCAACAAAAAACATTCTTTTGATTCTGATTCAAATCAAAGAATGGGGTGGTGATGGTGGTATTAGAAGTATAATTGGTTGTTGGTTCATAGGAGTTAGTCCTTGAAGTTGTTGATAATCATGTCTTTTTTGTTGTTGCGGTCGATGAACTTAAATTCGTTCAGTTACATAGACTTTGGCAGTGGCTGGAGCATTTGATCGTCTAACAGCTACGGAAACTATAATGCCTAAGGCCACCAAAACAATGCCCAGAGAATTCATAATATAATGTTCGATTTCGGAATTTCGAGTACTGAAAACAATGAGAAGAGATTTAAATAACAAAGTTTGGTTTTTGTGTATTCCTAATTCAGTTCTACTTCAAGTTCAGTTCTAGTTCAGTTCTAGTTCAGTTCTAGTTCAGTTCTAGTTTCAGTTCTAGTTCTAGTTCAGTTCTAGTTCCGTTCTAAGTTCAGTTCTAGTTCAGTTCTAGTTCAGGTTTTCTAGTTCAGTTCTATTCAGTCTAGTTCAGTTTCTAGTTCAGTTCTAGTTCCAGTTCTAGTTCAGTTCCTAGTTCCAGTTCTAGTTCAGTTCTAGTTCAGTTTCGTTCAGATAGTTCAGTTCTAGTTTTCAGATCTAAGTTCAGTTCTAGTTCAGTCTCGTTTCAGTTCAGTTCTAGTTCTAGTTCAGTTCTAGTTCAGTTCTAGTTCAGTTCTAGTTCAGTCTAGATTCAGTTCTAGTTCAGTTCTAGTTCAGTTCTAGTTTCAGTTCTATTTTCAGTTCTAGTTCGTTCTAGTTTCAGTTTTCTAGTTCAGTTCTAGTTCAGTTCTAGTTCAGTTCTAGTTCCGTTCTAGTTCAGTTCTAGTTCAGTTCTAGTTCAGTTCTAGTTCAGTTCTAGTTCAGTTCTAGTTCAGTTCTAGTTCAGTTCTAGTTCAGTTCTAGTTCAGTTCTAGTTCAGTTCTAGTTCAGTTCTAGTTCAGTTCTAGTTCAGTTCTAGTTCAGTTCTAGTTCAGTTCTAGTTCAGTTCTAGTTCAGTTCTAGTTCAGTTCTAGTTCAGTTCTAGTTCAGTTCTAGTTCTCAGTTCAGTTCTAGTTCAGTTCTAGTTCAGTTCTAGTTCAGTTCTACAGTTCTAGTTCAGTTCTAGTTCAGTTCTAGTTCAGTTCTAGTTCAGTTCTAGTTCAGTTCTAGTTCAGTTCTAGTTCAGTTCTAGTTCAGTTCTAGTTCAGTTCTAGTTCAGTTCTAGTTCAGTTCTAGTTCAGTTCTAGTTCAGTTCTAGTTCAGTTCTAGTTCAGTTCTAGTTCAGTTCTAGTTCAGTTCTAGTTCAGTTCTAGTTCAGTTCAGTTCTAGTTCAGTTCAGTTCAGTTCAGTTCAGTTCAGTTCAGTTCAGTTCTAGTTCAGTTCTAGTTCAGTTCAGTTCTAGTTCAGTTCTAGTTCAGTTCTAGTTCAGTTCTAGTTCAGTTCAGTTCTAGTTCAGTTCTAGTTCAGTTCTAGTTCAGTTCTAGTTCAGTTCTAGTTCAGTTCTAGTTCAGTTCTAGTTCAGTTCTAGTTCAGTTGTAGTTCAGTTCTAGTTCAGTTCTAGTTCAGTTCTAGTTCAGTTCTAGTTCAGTTCTAGTTCAGTTCTAGTTCAGTTCTAGTTCAGTTCTAGTTCAGTTCTAGTTCAGTTCTAGTTCAGTTCTAGTTCAGTTCTAGTTCAGTTCTAGTTCAGTTCTAGTTCAGTTCTAGTTCAGTTCTAGTTCAGTTCTAGTTCAGTTCTAGTTCAGTTCTAGTTCAGTTCTAGTTCAGTTCTAGTTCAGTTCTAGTTCAGTTCTAGTTCAGTTCTAGTTCAGTTCTAGTTCAGTTCTAGTTCAGTTCTAGTTCAGTTCTAGTTCAGTTCTAGTTCAGTTCTAGTTCAGTTCTAGTTCAGTTCTAGTTCAGTTCTAGTTCAGTTCCAGTTCAGTTCTAGTTCAGTTCTAGTTCAGTTCTAGTTCAGTTCAGTTTAAGTTATAGATCCATGATTCTCGTATACAAATATGCCGATTGAAAATAATATTCAGTTTGACTTGGATCACATACCTTAGTGCATTTTCACCATTTTCACCGCTCACCAGTTGACGTTCCTTTTCTACCAGACCAGTAACACAGGTGGCAATTGCCATCATAAAATTGGCCAAACCAAAACTGGCATGTATGGGTACCATGGTGGCACGACAATTGTAAGTGCGATTCTCACAGCATAATAAAATCAAAAAGCTATAATAAAATCCAAAAAAAAAATTAAGCGAAAAAATTCAATATTACACAAAATAAAAACAACAATAGAATGACAACATCTTCAACATCATAATCATCAATAAAGATCAAGTCAAAAAATGATTTAACAATCGTTCGTTTTTCAACTAGATTAAAATAAATAAACCAACCTGAAGAAACCGATGACAAATTGCATTACGAACATGCCCATTGTCACGAAACCCAACCATGTGTGCAAACTATAGAAGTTGGGCTTGGGAGGCTCTGATAGATTGTGCGAATCGAACACAGACAAAAATCCCAAAGCAATACATGGTATGGCACAGGCATGGAACAGCATGTGAACCAGTTTAACATAAATGTGTTTCAAACAACGACACAGACGATACAAAAGAATGGCTGAAATTTGAGAATAATTATAAATAAATAACAATTGTCTATTCAGTTATTATATTAGTTAATTATAACTTACAAAATCCAGAGAATGTTATGAAACCAGCAACCATTAAAACAGGATGTAAATTAAATTGCAATTCAGGATTTTCCGACCAAGCAAAGCCACCCCTATAGAATATAACCCAAAATAAAGTCAACACCAATACGCCCACCAACAGTATGGTGGACAAGATGACAATTAAGAGATATTCAAACCAGGAACCACAATGCCAGGCATTTTCGGGATCTTCTTCATAGCGTCTGAAATGAGAGAAAATAATGATTTTGAAAATTTTGTATTTAAATTTGATATTTGTAAATGGGCCTACATGGGACTTCTTCTTCGCTGGCCCTGTCTCATGACGGTATTTAATTCTTTAACAAAATCTTGATTAAAAGACATGTTACGATCATAATCCTTGCTGTAGCGAGAAGTTCTTCTAAAAATATTGAGACTTTTTAAACAAGTCATTTCGTTTACAGGAGAAAAATATATTTTGTTTTTATAAATTTCTTCAAAACAAATTTGAAATTTTTTTAATAAAAGCAGAGATTCTTAATTGAATTTAATAAAGGGGGTTTTAGTTAAAATTTTACCAATATCTTTAACTTTCTTAAAATTTCTAGAATTTCTTTAACAACATTATCTTCCTTAATATTTGATTTATTCTCTAATATCTCCTATATAAACATATAAATCTTTTTTTTCAAATTTTAATTGCCTTAATTATTTTGAACCATTCACCTCCATTATAAATAGTCTGTAACTTACACATTTAATCAAAATGTTAATGAAAAGTTTTCTTCATTTTTATATTTACGTAAATATGCATTTCTTAAAAATTCATTCAACCCAGAATCTTAATTAACATTATAATGCAAATATGCAATAAATTTAAAACTAATTTCACTTTCAAATGGAGAAAATTCATACGTTTTTTTTTGCATAATTTAGAAACAGAAAAATAAACAAATTACAATAATAATGGACAAATTAAACATACAAATAATTACTTCATTTAAAAAATGTCATGATTTTGCTTAAAAAAAGAAATTGAAAAAAAAAACGCTTGACTTTACAGTTGCTAATTGAATTAAATAAGTTTGAACTTTAGAGGTTTTAAATAAATAACAAAAAATTGTATATAACAGATTGCAATGGAAAATTATGACTAAAAGAGAAAAGTTTAAAAGAAATGAATTTAAAAACAAGATAACTACGATTTTGTAACGGTTTTGTTTTTGTCAACAAATTAAGACGGTGCTTATTCTGTAATACACTTTCTTTACTAAGCTTATTGTAAATTATTCCATACTTAATTGCAGTATATTTATGTTTTCAACTGGCGAATATGATTTGTAACTTCACTCGTCGATGTTTCCATGTGTAAAAGTTGCAGTATGTATTCGAATTAGTCTAAATTTCCAGTTGTGGAGTCTGTAAAGTCAACAAATCAACCAGCCGACCGACCAAGGAACCAAACCAACCGACCAATCCAACCATACAACCAACCGATCAACCAAGCGACCACCAAACCTAACTACTAACTAACTAACTAACTACTAAATAACTACGACTAACTAACTACTAACTACTAACTAACTAACTAACTAACTAACTAACTAACTAACTAACTAACTAACTAACCTAACTAACTAACTACTAACTACGAACTAACTAACTAACTAACTAACTAACTAACTACTAACTAACTACTAAATAACTAACTAACTACTACTAACTAACTAACTAACTACTAACTAACTAACTAACTAACTAACTAACTAACTAACTAACTAACTAACTAACTAACTAACTAACTAACTAACTAACTAACACTAACTAACTAACTAACTAACTAACTAACTAACTAACTAACTAACTAACTAACTAACTAACTAACTAACTAACTAACTAACTAACTAACTAACTAACTAACTAACTAACTAACTACTAACTAACTAACTAACTAACTAACTAACTAACTAACTAACTACTAACTAACTAACTAACTAACTAACTAACTAACTAACTAACTAACTAACTAACTAACTAACTAACTAACTAACTAACTAACTAACTAACTAACTAACTAACTAACTAACTAACTAACTAACTAACTAACTAACTAACTACTAACTAACTAACTACTAACTAACTAACTAACTAACTAACTAACTAACTAACTAACTAACTAACTAACTAACTAACTAACTAACTAACTAACTAACTAACTAACTAACTAACTAACTAACTAACTAACTAACTAACTAACTAACTAACTAACTAACTACTAACTAACTAACTAACTACTAACTAACTAACTAACTAACTAACTAACTAACTAACTAACTAACTAACTAACCTAACTAACTAACTAACTAACTAACTACTAACTAACTAACTAACTAACTAACTAACTACTAACTAACTAACTAACTAACTAACTAACTAACTAACTAACTAACTACCTAACTAACTAACTAACTAACTAACTAACTAACTAACTAACTAACTACTACTAACTAACTAACTAACTAACTAACTAACTAACTAACTAACTAACTACTAACTAACTAACTACTAACTACTAACTAACTAACTAACTAACTAACACTAACTAACTAACTAACTAACTAACTACTAAACTAACTAACACTAACTAACTAACTAACTAACTAACTAACTACTAACTACTAACTAACTAACTAACTAACTAACTAACACTAACTAAACTAACTAACTAACTAACTAACTAACTAACTAACTAACTAACTAACTAACTAACTAACTAACTAACTAACTAACTAACTAACTACTAACTAACTAACTAACTAACTAACTAACTAACTAACTAACTAACTAACTACTAACTAACTACTAACTAACTAACTAACTAACTAACTAACTAACTAACTAACTAACTAACTAACTAACTAACTAACTAACTACTAACTACTACTAACTAACTAACTAACTAACTAACTAACTAACTAACTAACTAACTAACTAACTAACTAACTAAATAACTATTGCATATTTGCCAAATCAGGAACATTTTTGAAAAACTTCGAAACGAAACTGTTTCCAACTGTTCTGGTTTGAGCTTCGGGTTTTTGTTGTAAAAAATTTCATTAATTTCGGTTTCAATAAGGGATTGGTCTCATGCAACCTAGTTTGGTGATAGGGCTGGATGTGTGGTAGATTTGTGTTTTAGTCTTGTAGACCGAAGGTCGTGAGTTCCATAACCACCTGAGGCACTGGTAAAAGAGCGTGCAGAAAGCTCTGCTCCTTTATAAGTAGTAAACCCAAGTAATTACGGGAAGATGGAAGATTAACATTTTCTCTCCAAAAAAATAAAAAGATTTTACCATTCGGAACTGCCTTATATTTAAGTAAAGTAAAATACAATGCAAATAATACAATCGAAAAATCTCCATACAATAACCATTCAATAACCAAACAAAATTTTAACTTAAAGCTTCCGTGATTTCACTTTCATTTCAAACCGAGTTTAGCGCTTAAACATAAATCTTTACCCATTGACAGCCATACATTTTTTGAACAAACACAACCAACACAACTCGTGTGTGCAAATAGTTGTTGCAATCAATCTGTAAACAATTTGCAACTAACAACAAACCAAAACTCTAAAACTAACTTTTGAACTTTAAACAATTGAGACGACAATGGTTTAACTGAAAAAATTAAGAAATTGCCACTTTTTTAAACCAAGTTCAAAAATTTTACTCAAACAAAAACAACAACAACAACGTATTACACAGGTGGTGGTTATGACCTTAACACATGAACTTCCAAAATAAACAAATATCGAAACCTGTTCCCTGTCTGCAGAAAATCATTTAAAATACTTTCTACCAATAAATATAAAATACATTTACATTACAACAACAAATGTGTTTATAAGTTTTTGTTGTCGCTGCTTTTAGACCCGGCCAATACTTGCGAACTGGCAAAATTTTTCGCACGAGTCTTGATTTGTTTTTTTAAATTTGTTTTCGTAACCGTAACCAAAACATTAAATGTTCGATGATGTTGCGCTGTTGCTGATGATTATGACGACACTGGTAGAGAGTGGTGGCAATGTTGGTTGTTGTTGTTGTTGCTGCTGCTGCTATTTTGTAGCCCCACTCGATTGTGAAAAGTGAAAGAAAAGGCGGCATTGTTTTCGCTGATGCAAAAAATTAAAAAAAAAGAAAATATTGAACGAGGAAAAGCATAAAAAAACAAATTTTGAAAACAGTGCAGCATAAACAAAACAGTGGTTCCCAAATGTTGATCAGATAGGATCAGCTGTGGGTGTAAGTTTAAATAAACTTTGCGAATGTTTAAATCTGTTGAAATACTATTAAAAAAAAGATGATCATCATTATTTAAAAAAAAATGTCAATAATTATTTTTGACTCTCTGCCTTAATATTAATCATGATTATAGTTTGTTAACCAAAAAAAAAAAAAAGACTAAATAAACAAATAAAATGTAATCCTACTAAATCAACATTTTCGTTTATAAATATAATAATTTAACTAAAATTAAAAACAGTTCATTGACTTCGAACACTATGTAGTATGATGATCAACGTAGTCGTCGTCGTCGTCGTTATCATCATCAATGCACATATTGTTGATGACGATCATAACGTGATGGTGATCATCATCATTAATCTGATGTAAAACTATTAAATCACTTGCAAATTATTTTGTATATCTTTCTTTAATATTTTCTTCTTTCTTTTTATTCAATTACATACAAATATACAATGTTTTTCGTTTATTTAACGAAAAATGTTATACAAGGATTTTTTTTTGTATGAGGAAATCAATTTAAAGTAAATCACAACAATATAAACAAATTGTAATTGTTGTATATATCTTTGTAAAGTTTATGATCTCATTTTATTTGATCATTTTTCTCACTCACCCAGTAATTTTTTTCGTGTTTTCCTTGTTATGAAATACATACGAAATAATTGTGAAATTTTTGTCTATATAGTTTTGTGTTTGGTAATATAGAGCAAAGGTTTGTAGCGTATATAGCTTCACAGATCCCTCTATAGTCTTTCGATATAGTTTCTTGAATGTAGAGAGTAGGGTCTGTCGACATAGAGACTCTGGACACTCGACTAAATAGAATATAATCACTAGTGTATAGAGACTGTATACAGTCTCAACTGTAGAAATTATAGTCTCACGATACAGGTCGAGAGACTAAAGAGACTGTAGTCACTCGACAATAGAGA